TGTAGGATTGTATTTGAACATGGGGGGTGACGTTGTGGCTATCGTTCCCGGTACAACCTAGTCGCCGCGAGCGCATTTTCTCCGGCTGCACCATACACTAACACCATATCGACACGTTGGGAAATAGTAAATGCGTTGTTTTCTCGGTTCATTGTAAAATTAGTTTGTACACAAACTGAAAAATTAAGCAAAGTAAGAAATAAGAATCTTGTTTTTAATGTAATCGGCATACTATTCTTATTTTTTACTTCTTTATAAAAATTACACTGTCACTATCGTGGAATTACAAAATAAAAACTTTTGTCTGGAATCTTTCACTTTTTAACACTGATGGGTCGATGGACAATGTTTAATATTTAATAATTAAGTGAATAATGAAATTAATACAAATACAAAATCAGTTGACTGCATACATTTTTTGACAATGTAACTTAACCTTCTTTTAGTATTACTAGTATTCGATTATACCGACTTAAATTAGAAAGTTGCATCTCTGGTCGTATAAAAACATTTCCAAAGTTTTTAATAAATAACACAGGGTCGGTCTTCATTTTCATTGAATAAATGAACTTTAATTTACAAGAAAAACAGGAAGATGTAGTTTAATTTTTATAGATTATACACGCCACATCATGTATTTAAAGGAAATTAGTAAATCGTTTGTTTACTAAATTATTACACAGCAAATCCTTCAGGAATGTTAACAAATCGACACAGCGTCCCATAAAACAAGCGGCAGAGGAACGAATAAAACGCGCAGTATTTTTTTAAATATTAACTTTTATTTTGTTCATTTCCTTAACTCACATTTCGTTCGTACATGTCCGGAATCGAATCCCGAGGCGTGTTACGAATCCGGCTGAGAGCGGCTTCTTCGCTTAACCGGAAAAGAAATGTCAAAACGCTGATTCAGGCTAATCAGGCCAAATCCGAACGTCGATAAAACGAATCTCTTGTTTGCCCCCGCATTCAAACTAGTCGCGCCCGAATTGACTTAGATTTCCTCACCGGATGATTTTCACGGTAATTTTATCTCAGCCTCTTTTAATCTCCCTGAATTGGAGATTACCACTCGCCCGGAGGTGTTCCTTGAGAAATCTCCGAGTTCTTCTGTTTGGGATGGGAGAAAGGGGATGTTTTACAGCAGGTTCGCAATGCGTTCGAGATGGGGTTAAAAGTAGATTTGGGTAACGGAGTGATAGACAAAGCTCTAATAATTAATCGTTCAGTCGAAGTATAAATACCTTTTTTATAGTCAACGCATTAAAGATACTATTTTGTCCCTAACTTCGAGGAGTAGTGTTACTTTTACTCCCTTCTTCTTCGGATTAAATTTACTTTTTCATACCTTGCTTTGTAAGCGGCTTTTTTATGTCTGTAAATGTCACGGAAATATCACTAAGCCCAGGAGCAATAAAGTATATAAAAGTAAATTGATTATTAATAACTTTTATGTTCTTGGATACAAAACCAATTACGAATTTATTGCAATATTTGAATACAGTTTCCCAAACATACCTCAATTATACAGTGTTTCTGAAATAAGTGCGTTTCTTGAAAAGGGCGATAAAGAACACGAAAATAAGCAACTTTTATTAAGCAACTGATTGTCTAAAACATTACGTTTTAAATTAAAAAAAAAGTACTAAAGCGCTGGTGGCGATTTCGCCGGTTTAATTTGGTGTTCGGTATTGCTGAACTTTATTTAAATCTCGTTTAAATGTAACACGAAAATTAAACGAATTACTTACCAATAGACGATATGCTCTACAAAAATTAAAAGTTATTTCTATGTGCTAATAAACATATGCCTCCAAACGACGGTCAAAATTTTTGTCACCAAAAACTTAACACCACACTCAAAAATCACTCAAAACCGTTACTGGAACCGAGATATCTGTACAACGTGAGGATTTTCATCATACAAATAGCGAATGTTATGAAAATTTTGTATGCATCTCTATAATCCAAGGGTTTTCCCTCCTAATTCTTTCGGATAGAACCGATTGACTTAAAACTTGAACTGTAAATAGAAAATAGCTAAAGAAACAAAAGTTATACTATAATGCCAATGAGCGCTTTTGCCTAGGGGGTTTAAGCCACCTCTTCTAGAGAGTGAAATATAAAATATTGAAAATAACCCCAGGAATCGATAAAGAAATCAATTTTACGCAAAAAGTATCTTATGAACATTTTTCGATAAGTCAGTATTTTCTGTGTTATTGGTGATTGAAAATGTACATTTTTTATTAATAAAGGACGTTTTTCAGTAGTTTTTCTCGAATAATAGTTGTTACTTTCATGTCTCCGGGTAGTTTTCTCATAATTCGCATTTGCTGTTCATTCAAACCTTTCCTTCACATTTTCAAAACAGTGGGAATCTCTGTACTCTTATAATATTTTTCCCGACAAAGGAACGGGCGCAAATCCGGTATTTTACATAAAAATGATTTTATTGCAGCAAAAGTATAGGGAAAGCTATTAAAAAATTGTAGGGTCTACAGAATGGCACCTAATGAAATCATAAAACACAGGGTGTTCTATTTGAAAAAGTGGAGATTTGTCAAATTTTAAATTATCAGGTTTGGCACGATTTTTTTTGCCCCCTGTATATCGCAGGTCAACTTTTGATACGTTTTTTGAAAGAGCCATCTTCACTCTACAGTTCCTGAAAAAAAGTAATTTCTAGCTGTCATGCAATCATAATTATGTCAACTACTAGAAGTGACGAAACATAAGAAAAGAAAAATGAAAAGTCGATTATCTCGAAAACTATCAATATTTTAATAGGATCATAACACAAAGTCCCGTTAATATTTCACGTAGAATTCGATAATGCCATAAAAATTATAGGTTTCCATTAAAAAAAATTAAGTTAGTACCTGCCCAGGAAAACTGAACACTCTGTATATGCAAATATATTTTCATTTTGTGCAGCTCGGGAAAGTAGGCAACTCAGTAGAATAAATTATTTATAATACCATAAACTATTGAAAAGATTTCTATCTATAACGTACGCGCTATAAAAATATTTTAAGGTCAAAGAAACTATTAATTTTATATTTTTATCATTAAGAGTGGTTTTTAAGGGTTCAAACTTTATAAAAATAACGTAAATTAGAACCAACAATATTTATTCTATTATTAAGATATGATTTTAGTCCACATAACACCTACTTTTATATTTATTCAGTTTTTTATCATAAGGAGTTGTTTTCATCCCCTAAAAATAAGGAGCGCATGTCAAGCACATATAGCTTTCATCTACAGGGTGCTTAATTCCAAATTTTCATAAAAATCTGATCTATCCGAAAGTATTTGGAAGTTTTACACTATTTTTCTCTTCGTTCCCTGGACTATTAAAATTACCGCGAAAGCGTTTTCGCTAAAAAAAAACCAAGCCAATTTTCCCCGTCGAAATTCGACTATGCACATTTTTTCACATTTCCCACCCACCCACACGCGCCTAACCCTCTCGGAAAATTCAAGCCGCCCGCCCACGGAGCGACCGGCGACGGCGGCGCGCCGTTTCCGCGAACCGCCGCCGCGGCGCCGCCGTCGTCATGATGTCTGCTGTTCGATTTTCCGACATCGGCAGCCGCTCGCACCCGCCGAACTCCGCACCACGCAGGACGATGCTTTGAAACCACGAAAAGATGGTCGGTATGGCTAATATGGACGATCATGAGAGGAAGATCGTGATGGAGTTCGTTCACTTATTGGAGAAGTCCAAGCAACTCTTCAACGGGCTGCGGTGAGTGCCTCCTGCGAGTCGTTACATCATTTTTAACCCCCTTTCCGTTTTGTAGGGACCTGCCCCAGTACGGTCACAAACAGTGGCAGGCGTATTTCGGACGCACCTTCGACATATACACGAAGTTGTGGAAGTTCCAGCAGCAGCACCGACAGATCCTGGACTCGAAGTACGGGCTGAAGCGGTGGCAGATCGGCGAAATCGCTTCTAAGATCGGACAGCTCTACTATCACTATTAGTGAGTAAACCCTGTGTGATATTACGTGAGGGCGAAAAGGGGGGTGAGAGGAACCTTCTCCGTATTATTTATTAAGGCATGTTGTAGTGTGTCGGAGGGCGAATAAAACATTAAAGGGTTGATTGATTCTGTGCTTAGTTGAGTGGAAGCGTATGCTGGGGCGGAGGTATTTTTCATTAAGAAAAAAAAGGGACGCAACACATGATAAATATAAAGGCAGAGCGGCTTTGAACCTAACCTTTCAGGTAATACTTGGGCCGAGTTTTGAATTAAACAGAGCATGCTGCCCAAAATAAAACTTACCTACCTTTTCAAAAGTTACGTGTGAGTTCATTTTTTACTTTAAATTACATGTAAAATTCGTATTGAAATATTCCGTAATGTTTTGCAGTAGACTGATTGTTGTACAGTACATCCCAAGTTCTATGTCATGCTAGAATATCTCGATTATTATTAAAGATAGAAAGTTGCAACTTTCTACCTGTAATAATACCGTGGCATCGATAATGTAGTATTGTACAGCCAACTTAGTTTTGTTGTGTTTAATCTTTTTCTTGGATTTTAAAACGATTGTCCAAAATACCAACATTTTTTCATAAAAAAAAATGGCATATAATTCGCTCCAGTACAGGTATACATAGATAATTTTAACATTTATAGCCACATCTATCATTTCTTTTGCTGCTTATTAATACTTTCTTCATTTAATCGTCTCTCTAGTGGTCGATTCTGTACCAGCGTAGATCAGCTAACGCGTATCTCATTAATCTCTTTCGATTGTTTTCAACACTAGGTCTCCAGTCGCCCAGAACAAAGCAAGCTTCTTCGATAATAATTCATACATCTCCTTCAGGTTTACCAATGTTTTTACGGACGCCTGATTGTCTGTCAGCATATTGATTCGTCTATTTCGTAAGACCCCGTGCTATTCCCTTATCTCCCTTCATATTTTAGTGTACACCGTCTCCAGCGTGGGCTATGACTCACCCGCGAATCAGGTGATGTCCACGAAGCGACAACTTTTCCGAATGAAAGTATGAAAGATAAGTGTGTGAACAAAACCTTTGCCTCTCAGTGATCAGGCCAAATCACATGTGTAATTAGAGAGGGTATATTTAATAATTAAATTTTAATTATCTATACATCGAAAAGGACATTCTTTTTTTCAGTTTACAAAATTTAGTTTATTTTTTGAAGTAGATATGACAATTAATATATTTTTAAACTTCAGAGCTTATGAAAATTAAATGTGGACAATCGAGTGGCCAATTTTCTAGTAGTTACTTGGCATAGACATGTTTATTGAATATCAGTTTGCGTTAATATTCCTTGAACTGCGTATACAGTGTGTGAGAAGTTTGACTGCCATTACTTCAGCATGAGATAGAGTAGTCGTAAATGAACAAAAAAGTTGCATATTACAGGGTCGTAAGATTAACAGTTTTCAAAATACAGCGAGTATTAATATTGGGGAGTTTCATCACAACGTGACAACAGCGCTGAACCTAACGCTACACAACTGGTGCATACCACGTGTGCACGCGGCAGATTTGTCCTACGGAAAAAATGTAAACAACTATTATTGTGAAACATTTAGTAAATTTCAAGACAATTGTTTTCCAGTTTTTAAATAAATAAAATAAAATTTATCGATTTTGTAGTACGAAGATAGCGTTGTGCTTAAATTTTAGCTCGAATTTTGGTAATTATGAATCTCTTAAAACAGGAACTTAACTTTTAATCAAATAATAGTGGTACGCAAAAAACACTCAGACATGGTCCAATTCCAGATATCAACTGGATTGCGTTATGCTGGACAGCTTAATACTTCGTGTTGTCATATAAAGTTTTTTTGTTTATTGCCTATTGATTCAAACAAATTATTGGTCACGTGGCTTGTGATAATTAATAAAGGTACTGTAAGTGCGGTATCATGTTTCCAGTTTGCGAACAAGCGAGACGAACTACCTGAACGAGGCTTATTCGTTTTACGCGGCGATCAGAGGAAGAACGTACTACTCGAGAGCTGCCAAAGAGGACAGGTGAGTACAACTAACAACCGCGGCCTCCTCAACGTGAAACCGTTTCGTTTCCTCCCCCTCCAGGTCGGAGCTGATGGTGAAGAAGTTGCGTTATTACGCCCGGTTCATCGTGGTGTGCCTGCTGCTGCGCCGCATGAAGCTGGTCCGGGAGCTTATCATCGAACTGGACAGGCATATCTCGGATTACACCAGCACCTACGAGCCCGACGACCAGATCGAGTGGAGCCTCGTCCTCGACGAGATCAAGGGCTTCATCCAGTCGGATTCGTTGGTGCAGGTGCTGCACGCCGACACGAACCCCATCGTTCTGTCGCATAGGTGGGTTAATAAACGATTAAGACATATACAGCACCAGACAGCACTTGCGGCGTCTTTATTTGTGTAGATTGAGTCCGCTCACCACGCCCCCTGTGGAGAAGTCGCAGTACATGAACCTGACTCTCCAGGAGATACTGATAGTGGGCAGCGCCTCCGAACAGGTGAAATTCTCCGAGTTGACCATGGACATGTTCCGGATGATCCAGACGCTGGAAAGGGAACCCCAGGAAGACTTCAATCACATATACGACGCTTCTCCGGCACCTGGGAGGGTTCCCTACGGCGTGCCGGGCCAAAAAGGGTGAGATTTACTTCGGAATGTTAAACATGGGTAACGATTCTAAAAACTTCTCTTTCAGGTACCTCGAGAACGGTGACAGGCCGTCTAGAAGGGAGAACCCCCACAAATACCTGTTGTACAAACCTACGCTAAGTCAAGTGCTGGTCTTTCTGGCAAGCGGCTTCAAGGAGCTGCCGGCCAACGGGGCTCTGTTGCTGTATCTGTCTGCGGATGGTTGTTTCTCAACCACGAAACATCCCGAAGATAGTAAGTAATCACAAAAATTTGTATTACTCGAGATATTTTCTTATTTTACATGCAACGCCCTGTATATTATACAATTTTTGGGTTCTTCGCAAAATTCTAGGCATATTTCATGTACAATGTCCTTTACCTATCTTCATTATCAAGAGCTAAATGGCAAATAAGTATTGAGTGTGTTGTAGAGAATTTCTGCAATCCAATAATTTTCTTTTTTTAATGTTAATTTTTGCAATAAATCTGAAAACACTTAATATTTCCGAAACAGTTGAAGATAAGGACATTGTATATGAAATATGTCTAGAATTTGCTAAAGAATCCAAAAATTGAATAATATACAGGGTGTTGCATTTAAAATAAGAAAGTCGGTGTTGGCCACTGTTAAACGACACATCCTGTATAAAAAGTTTTTGTTGGAAAAAATACTCAACTAAAAATACCAATCGACGTGTCCGAGCGTTTTTTCGAACACGCCCCTATTTATTTATTATTGAATTTATCCCATTTGGCTGATACACACTGTATATTATTCCTGAAATGGAAAAGGAAGTTGTATTTGGGGTACTGTTTCGACGCGTTATCGAAAGACTTTTTTTTTACATTCGATAAAATCGCTTCAGTTAGTGACCAGTCAACCTAAAAAATCACTGGCCATCGTTAATTAATCCTGTGAAAAGGACTACGCAGTAGTAGCTGGAGCTCTAGCTTTTATAACATTCCCCAGAATTAACTTCCTCAAATCCGATAAAAGTAGGTAGAATGTATTGCTAAAATATTGAATAGTAAATATAAATAGGGTGGCCCAAAAAAAAGCGATTTTTTTTTTCGTGTAAAATATCGTGAAAATATATTAGATTAACATGTTTTAAGAGCCCCTTCAAAAAATCAGCTCAAAAAAAAAACAAAAAAAAAATTTTTAGAGGTCGCTCAAGATTTTTAAAAATTTCCAAAATCGTCAAAAATTGAGTTTTTTTTAATTTTTTTTTCTAGTTATTTTATCAATTTCTAGGTTGAAAAAAATCTCGATTCTGAAAATTTCAAATCGATATTTTAGTTTCTAAAGGTCACTCATAATTATTTTAACTTTCAAAGTAGTGTACTTGTTTTCGAGCGACCTCTAAAAATAATATCAACGAAACAAAAATTTTTTTTATTGAATTTGATGAACAAGATAATAGAAATAAGTCACACTTATATTTTAAAAAATTAAAAAATTATAAATATTTGATACTCACAGTGCGATAGTAAATTTTGTCTCGAGAAATTTTTTAAGTGTCTCGTGATTTATTTCTATTCTTTTGTTCATCAAATTCAATAAAAAAAAATATTAGTTCGTTGATATTTATTTTTAGAGGAGGCTCGAAAACATTTTAGGTACTTTAAAGTTAAAATATCGATTTGAAATTTTCAGAATCGAGATTTTTTTCAATCTGGAAAATGATCAAATAACGAGAAAAAAAAATAAAAAAGATTCAATTTTTTCAAAAATTTTTAATATGATTTTTTGAGGGGGCTCTTAAAACATAAACTAACATATTTTCACAAGACACGAAAAAAAAATATTCGTTTTTTTGGGTCACCCTACTATGTATGTTTTCAGACACGAACATTGAATAATTTCAAATATTCCGAATTTTCACCACCAAGAACAGCGGTGACGGCGATGTTTTGCATCGTATTAACTATGTCCTGTCCAAATTGTTCGTGCAACTCTCTTGGTTTCGACAATGCCTATGTAATAGGGTGGCTCAAAAAAAAGAATTTTTTTTTTCGTGTCTCTTGTGAAAATATGTTAGTTTATCATGATTTAAGAGCCCCCTCAAAAAATGAGCTCTAATAAAATTTTTTTAGAGGTCGCTCAAGTTTTTTAAAAATTTCCAAAATCGTCAAAAATTATTTTTTTTAAATTTTATTTCTCGTTATTTTATCATTTTCTAGGTTGAAAAAAATCTCGATTCTGAAAATTTTAACTTTCAAAGTAGTGTACTATGTTTTCGAGCGACCTCTAAAAATAAATATCAACGAACTAATATTTTTTATTGAATTTAATGAACAAAAGAATAGAAATAAATCACGACACTTAAATTTTAAAAAATTAAAAAATTATAAATGTTTGATACTCACAGTGCGGTAGTAAATTTTGCCTCGAGAAAATTTTAAGTGTCTCGTGATTTATTTCTATTCTTTTGTTCATCAAATTCGATAAAAAAAATTATTAGTTCGTTGATATTTATTTTTAGAGGTCGCTCGAAAACAGGTACACTACTTTGAATGTTAAAATAATTATGAGTGACCTTTAGAAATTAAAATATCGATTTGAAATTTTCAGAAACGAGAATTTTTCAACCTAGAAAATTATATAATAACCAGGAAAAAAATAAATTTTTGACGATTTTTAAAATTTTTAAAAATCTTGAGCGACCTCTAAAAACTTTTTTTTTAAGCTACTTAATTTTTTGAGGGGCTGTTAAAACATGACAAACTAACATATTTTCACAAGAGACACGAAAAAAAATAATCGTTTTTTTGGGCCACCCTAATAAAAATTCAAATCAAAATTCCAATAATTCAATCCAGCTCTTAACAGTACTGCTTTCGTTAATTTATCAATAAATTATATTTTTACGGTTTCTCAGCAGATAGGCCATGTCTTCTATCATCTTATTTAACAGGTTCAACTTATAATAGACATAGAGTCCCACAAGGTTCGGTCTTGGGCCCTCTGCATTTCGTCAGTTACATGAACGATTTTCCCAACATTTTGACAGACACTAATACGTGTTGCTTAATATCGTGACAATCTTTAGCAATCGGCGGGTCTGCGTAAAATATTGAAAAGCTTCTTCTGAACAAATTAAATTTTTATTCCCAGTGGGCTACGACCTGGGCGGCGTCCTGACGAGCAGCAAGCGGGACGGCGATCACAAGAAACAAAAAGAAGCTCACTGCCTTTACCCTGGTGACTTATACCCGTTCACGCGAAGACCGTTATTCGTCATAGTCGATTCGGATAACAGTTTCGTTTTTCAACACATCCCCAGGTACTTCGGACAGCCCCTGGTCACGCTGATGTCGCCGCAAGACACCCCGCCGGCCTTCCAAGGTACCCAGTCGCCTTGTTTCTGTCGCCGAGCAACAATTTCTATTTTTTTTTTATTTTTTTATTTTACAGATCAACAGCACAACGGCTCCTTGTTCACTCTTTTCCTGCACTCCCCGCTGACGGCCTTCTGCTACTGCTGCAACCTGACCAGCATCCCCATACACCACTGGGAGCGGTGCCAGAGCTTCGTCGATCGCTTCGTCACGGAGGCGTCGCGGCTTTTCACCAGATCGAGAGTCGGTGAGTATGACGAAGGTATGTTGGTTTTGGTACTGTCACTGTTAAACTGTACGGCGCACCTTGCTCGCATCTCGATATACCTACCTCTCGAGGGAAGTATCGCCGACAATTTTTTGACACGTGCGGGGTGTTTACAAACTTGGAAATTGTTTTTTTCTAGCGACGTTTTGGGGACCGCTGGTGTTGGGAGGGAATGACAATTCTTACTCTCGCGTATCGCAATAGATGTACCTATTTGTAATAGTTTGTGATGTCATTGATTTCTCGATCGTACACATTTGTAAATATCCTCAGGAATATAAGTTTAAAAGGTTTAAGTCTGGAGAACGAGAGGGCTATATCAGGAAATCCCATTCTATAAATACCAACGTTCCTGGTGTCGATATATCTGCGGGAATAACTGGTAAAGTCTTTGAGTGAATGTTACAGACTTTGCAGCACTTGGTGCGTGGATAAATGAATCTGCAGCCGTAGCATTTTGTCTGCGTTCGCCGTATATCCACCAATTCTTTATTATTGTGATTATGTGCCATTGTAATAAAACGCTAAACACTAATAACAATACCTGATGTTTACCGTTTTCCTGACACCGAGTTGAGTAATGAAAGGCAAGAAACTTCTAGATATTTAACTGGTGACGGTTAAGAAACAACTAATTTTAAAGCCAGGTTTACTGACGAACCAAAAAACGGCAAAGGAAACCTTAGGATCATTAAAATTCTTTGGTATAATAAGAGCATTGGTTATACGGGGTGTCCCGTAAAAAATGTCGCAACTTATAAATCATTATTTACGTCAATTTTTATCTGGTTTTGAAAAAGAAAAGATCTGCGTTAACAGCTCCAAAAGTACCACAAACTGGCACACGTTAGCGTATTTTTTCAAGGGCTACCTTAATGGTAGGCGATTGTCAATTGTTTTTTTTTAATGGAACCGCAAGCGGGGACTTCAATTCGGCGGGAAATTCAATCTTGGTAAGTTTGCCACCCTAAAGGCTCTGACGTCATCGAATTAATTTTTCGAATTTCGCGCTTATTTTTTGCATCATATGACAGTCCTCATTTTTATCAAAAACTGTTATTAAGTAAGTTTTCCCATATTCCTTTCCGTTCAAGAGATATAAAATAATAGTCCAGGCGATAGAGCAGTAAAAATAGGCTTTGGCGTTTGTGTTACAGAAAAATCCCAAATATTATGTAGAATAGGAATCCGAGTTTGCCTAATTCCAAAAAACCATACCTAAATTCAGGGGAAGGGCAAACATACAAAAAGAACGAAAAATTACCCCTTTTCGACATATTTTTCCCTGTAACATTGAAATTAAGCCCTAAATCCAAAAGAGTCGTTCTTTATTTTTTGTTTATTTGACGATTTTCTATACAGTTACCACAGCTTCGAATCAAAAAAGTTGAATTTTGCATTAACAATGGGCGAGAAATAGTAGAAAATCATATGCATATTTGGAGCAATTTTCAAAATCGTCAAAAATTGATTTTTTTTTTAAATATTTTTCTCGTTATTTTATCATTTTCTAGGTTGAAAAAAACCTCGATTCTGAAAATTTCAAATCGATATTTTAATTTTTGAAGGTCACACAATTATTTTAACATCAAAGTAGTGTACCTAAAATGTTTTCGAGCGACCTCTAAAAATAAATATCAACGAACTAATCATTTTTTTTATTAAATTTGATGAACAAAAGAATAGAAAAAAATCACGACACACTTAAATTTTAAAAAATTAAAAAATATTTGAAACTCAGTGCGGTAGTAAATTTTGCCTCAAGAATTTTTTTAAAAATCTCGTGATTTATTTCTATGCTTTTGTTCATCAAATTCAATAAAAAAAATTATTAGTTCGTTGATATTTATTTCTAGAGGTCGCTCGAAAACATTTTAGGTACACTAGGTACTTTTAAAGTTTTTATAGTAAATTTGGCGCTAATCTGTTATTTTTTTTAAATTTGGTCAACCATCTTGGATCCGCCATCTTGAATTTTGCGAAATTGACCTCGGATCCGTGATCAGCGACCCCGAAAACCCCTGTATACCAAATTGGGCGCCAATCTGTTGTATTTTGAAAATTCGTCATATCCGACCTTAATTGAACCGTTTTTTTTTTTAAATTAGAAAAAGAACCATCAATTCTGTCCGCAGATTCATGTTCGGCGGTGTCTTAACCATATAAGTGAACATTTGAATATAGAAAAAAAAATGTTTGTATTTTTCCTAACACTTTTTCACGAATTTTTGCTATTTTTGACCTGTTTTTGAGGTTAGGAAATTCCTATGATGTGATAGCTCAATTCTGACACCGGATTCGTGATCATTAGGCAAAAATACTGCGGATAACATATGTCGCATGAAAAGTACAAACAACTTTTTTTGTGTGTGGCTTAATTGTTTATAGGGTAAAATGTTGAATAATTAAAAAAAAAATCTGTATGATTATAAAAGTGTAAAAAAAAGGTATTTTTAGTATTGATCATTGTTTATTATGACAACAGGTATTTCTAAAAAATTGTGTGTGTGCCCTTTCTAAACCTTAATTTAAACCCACGGTACGCGATAAACTTTTTGAACACCCTGTATATTAATAATAATTCATTAATTCATTTGTTTCTATAAAGTTGTACCAATTTTGAATTTTTCAGAGCTGGTATGTATTTCAAAAACGATAAATATACAAGGTGTCTCATTAAAAAAAAAACAAAATGTTATGTATTTCTTTGGGATTAGCAGAAAATGTTGGTGTTTGCCACTTTTTTTCTACATAAAACGGCTAAGATTATCCAAGTTCATAAACACCCTGTATAAGAAAAATAATGAAAAAACTATTTTATCCACGACTATTGTATAATGTACCCATTATACGTCTGTTTGCTCGACCTTAATAATACCCATTAATCACGGCAGTGATTAATGAGTCATTAATCACTACTGTCAGATGCTTCCTTAATTTAGCTATAATATTATATTGTTCTGCTACAAACAATCCGTTTTTAAAATTTTATCGTGTAAACCACTAAATATTTTCAAATCAGTGCTGTACATATAAAAAAAAAATTAAAAAAGTGAATTTTCCTAGACCGGATTCGAACCCGGGACCCGCGGTTGGAAGGGAGAGAGCATCTACACTGAGCCATCAGCGACTTCATCTGTGCAAGTCGTATATCTGTTTCTTAACATACCATGTTTTTCGAAACATTTCAAAAAAAACTTCAACAAAAATATTTAGTAGTCGTGGATAAAGTATAGTATTCTACTCCCGTATAATGGGTATTATTCACTCGGTGATTTAGGCCACTCGCCTGCGGCTCGTGGCCGTAAACTTCACCTCGTGAATAATACCCATCATTATACGCTCGTTGAATAATATAATATTAAGTGTTTCTTGTGGTTGCGACGAAGCGGAAAAATAAACTGTTAGAGTATTAAAAAGGGGACGTAATTTGTAGACTCATCGTATCTACAGTTCTTCGGAGACGACTTCCTGCGGCTGCTGCTCCTCCGCTACGTGTTCTGCGACGTGGTCCTCCACCTGCACAGGGCCTTCCGAGGCCGCCAATACCGTCCCCGCTGCCAACCGCCCCTCCCGGAAGCCGAGCTGCTGGAGCACCCGTCGCTGCAGCACCTCGTGCTCGACCTTGCGGCACACCTGGAGGTGCGGACTCACTTCATGGAGAACCACGAGATCGAATGATCCAGGGCTCCCTCCTCATGGCCATGTGTGGGGTTTAGTGACACTTGGGTATCGTCTTCGCGGCAGACCCATGAGGATGGACTCGCAGCCAGGGGAAGACCCCTAGGACAGACAGTAATACTGGTCGCCTTCGCTATAGTGTTTCTGCTTACCAACGCGCGTTTTCTGTGGGTTATCGTGAAAGCTTTACAATTTTTTTGGACTCTTTACCCATCTCCGGTCAGATTGAGTCGCCCTGTCCGGTCGCCGGGCGCGTCCGCGTGCTCGTCCCATTATTTTCGGACGCGTTTTATGGACTCGTGTAATTTAGGTACGGTGATATTAACATAGCTCGCCAGAGCGCATCGTCTTTCAAAAATTCCGTTCACTTGTCGAATTGTCGTTGCGAATGTCGACCTTTGGACGCCACCTACAAAATAAGTACGTTTTTAACATTGCCATGACCCCCTCTCGCCATCCTCTGTATTATAAGATCTTTCCTCTCTCTCTCTCTATCTCTCTCTCTCTGAATCCGTGACCAACAGTGATCAAGAAGCCTTCTCGTGCCGATTACGATGATACGTACTCCTTATTGATATTAACACTATTGAATGCATGGAATAGACCCTAGGACATAGCCTACCGATTTTATTCACTCTCATCCACCCACGGGCACTTCAAGAATCTTATTTGTAACCGTAGGATATTCTACAAGTAACATGCACAAAACGCCAGTCATATTACTTCACGTTATGCGCAAGAAACGGTCCTTCCGCGACACCCCAGCCCCAACGCCGTTGATTTGTCGCCTTCACATCACTTTTATTCACTTCGGAACACGTCGGAACCTCGTCGCTTGTTTTGACGGGCAAGAAAAAAATTACGGTCAAAGTTACGTTATTTTACTGGACTAGTAAAACAATCTGCGGATAAATCAAATCCCAGTACACTTACACTATGTGGAACAGTCGTTTTTACTTGAAACATTCTCACATTTCAACGGGAACGACCTGCGAGACGATTATTCTGATGTAATCGTGGTGCGAATGTAATGTGGTGCGCCTTCGCGCATGCGGTGACGTCACCTGAGAGAAAGGCGGCACGAAATCATGTCGGCATGAAAATGCAACTTTCTGTCGGTTTTCTGACAAAACGGGTGCAGTTACTTCAACGCACGTTTTACGTCTTACATATCGCGGTTAACTTAAATTTTATTGTCTGTTTATATGTATTCGACAGCTGCTAATCGCGTCACGAAAGAGAGTCTGCGGGTCTCTGGTGACGTCATACACAGATAGGACGAAACTGAGCCGGGCGACTAGCACACCGTACAAACTAACCCGACGCATATGATTAATATCAAATATTCCATTGGAATAATCGCTTTCCGGGTCAAAAGAATGTCGAAACGTTTCAATTAAAAATAATCCAGATCCATGAAATGCTAAACAAGTTATTTTAAAAAATCTAAAATTGTTGATAACTGATCGCAAGTTTTATTACAAAAAAGTGGTTGTGAATATTTTTTTCTTTTTGTAGATTCAACCTAATTAAAAATGTAACGTGCATCATTTATTATTTTTATATGAACGATATTGTTGTTATCCCCATTTAGTCGATGTACAGGGTGATCTATAATATCTTTGTTACTAAGGTACCTCAATAGAAAAAAAATCTCATCAGGATTATGCAAATGTACAGTGCATCTCACTTTCGACGTCATTTTCGGTTTTTTCGGTTATTCTTACTGAAAAATTAAATTCGGAAAAATTGGTAATTTATAATATGCCGTAACAATTTGCGCTTTCTAGAAAACCAACATAAAAATCATTATATTAGCAATTTTGAGGATGTTAGATTTTCCAAATAATAATTTTTGAATATGAAAAAATTATATTAACTGCAAATAATTTTCATGTAGTACTTTTTATGGAAAAATAACTGACGCTGACTTAAAACCATTTAAAATGACTAAAAAAAATTAAGTTCACTGTTTTTCAGATGCAAAAGTATATAATTCATTGGTTTTCGATATGATTAAAAAAGAAATTTGGTAAGTGAAATATATATATACATATATATATATAAAATTTAACTATACGATAGACTATATAGCGTCCGCCACAAAAAAATTAACTTTCGCGTCTCAGAAACAGTGAAATATGTTAATTGCAGTTTTCTTGGGCCTTTTGAGTACGAAATTTTCATAAAAAAACATTGTTTAAACACAAACAATACGTCCTCAAATACAACATTTCTCATTCAAAGACATTTCGCGATAACATTTTTGAAGTCTGCCTATCGTAAATTTAATACTCACATTTATACTGTACCAGAGCGTGTTATTACTATAATTTTGTTCTGAAGACTGTACATATACTACCATGGTTAAATGACAGAACTACTACATCATATGCAACTGCTTACCCTAAACAAATATTAGTCAAACTATAGCGAAGTTCACACCCTTGCGCGGCATCTAGAGAGAATCACGAAGACGGTCTACATGCCGCGCAACATGTTTTAAATAATAAGTTGGTCGCTGACCGACGCGAATAAGTTTGCGTCTGAGTTGGCTCAGACCGTCTGAGTAGGAAACGCAAGCTTATCCGCGTCGGTCTGTACCTACCTTTATATTACAGCACAAATCTGTGCAGATGTTCAAAGGATTTATTGATTAAATTAATTGACGTTAATTTTACAAATTTAGATAGTTTCGCTGAGCCATATCATACCTGTTTTTTATTAGGAATCGTTACATTGACATGTAGCTGAAAGTGCGACGAGATAGCTGCTTTACTTTACAAAGTTCCAAAGAAAATACTTAATAATTTTGGGTTTTCCTATATCGAGACCAAAACAACGCGGCTCAAAAATACTGAAACACCATTTTCTTCGAAAAAAGAAGTCAATATTGTAAAGTGGTTAACTTGTCGTTTCACATAGGAAGAACTCAATTACCTGTTTGATATTCAAAGAGCTATCAGATGTTTAATTTTTAGGGATAAACTTGAATTAAGACTAACAGTTTGATAGCACCGATTTTCTTTCTGTGTCATTACCTTTTAATTAATTATAATTCGGGGATTGCAGGAAAGGTTACCACCAATTTCGTCGCTTATTTTTGATGATATACAGGGCGAGTCACTGACTTGGAACAAAATATACAAGGTGTTCCAACTAAGAGGGATTATTGCACTACTGGAAAAAATTAAAGGAACAATAAATTTTCATGAATTTTTTTATTGATTTTCGAAAGGTTGTCTCGCAGTGAAAAATGGTCGATCGAGATAAACAAAAAAGTGTTTTGAAGCTTTAAGTCTCTAGTTTGAAGATTTTTAGACCATTTTTTTAGGTACGGTTATCGAGAAATCAAATAATTAAAAGCACCTCGACAAAAAAAATTCCAAATTTTTTTTTATCTTTTCCAAACTAAATCGATAGAGGTCAGAAAATTTTCAAAATAATTTTTCAATAATTTTTTTATTTCTTTTCTTTTCGACATCTCGGCAACCAATAGTCGCACGGAGGCCTTTCATAAATCAAATTGAAGCCGAATAAATAAGCTAACCGACCTTTGTATTGATGGAATTTGGAAAATTTTTCCAAAGTCCATAATCAGTTCTAAACAAAAATTTTGGAAATTTTTTTGTCGAGGTGCTTCTTTTGATTTATTCATAACCGCAGCTCAAAAACATTTTTCGTCTAAAGATCTTGAGACAAGAGACTTACATCAGCCTCAAAATGCCTTTTTGTTTATCTCGATACGACCATTTTTCACTGAGATACAGATTTTCCAAAAATCACTAAAAATTATTCTATCATTCCTGTAATTTTTAATATTTCGTCAGTTTGGTACACATTTTGGAAGAAACCATTGTAAAAATTTTGTAACGAGACTAAATCTACGGTTGTGGAACCAAATTAATTCCTTGACACATTTTTTTTTTTTAATTACAAGAATGATAAAGGAATATTTAACTCGCTGTATCTTGGGAACGACTAGGACTAAAAATTTGAAATTTGGTAGTGATGTACAACTTTACACGAGAGTTTTTCGAAAAAGTTATCGATGACGTCATATATTTTTAATTTTGCGTTTGATGTACCGAATTTGTTCCAAATTAGTGACTACATATTTTCAGCCTATTCAAAATTTTCATTTAAAAAAATGTGTTACGGCGAATCTATCGGAACAATGACTGAACAAGCGCTTTTAATATTTCTTTTAGTGTACAGTACCAATTGTAATAACAAAAAGCATCTAAAAAAAATAAGGGATGATGTTGGTGGTGCATATCGTTTACCTGCGTTTAATTCTCCTCTAAATTCAGCACTGAATGTTTTACATATCTAGAAAATAAAATAAAACCATTGTTATCTAATTTAAACAATCGTATTAAAAAAAAATCGGTAAAATCTAGAAAAAGTTTCTACCGGGTGTATCGTAAAAAGCGCCGCAAGCTACATCTTTGCCATTTTTGGTCCAATTTTGAAAAAGAAAAGATCGGCGTTAATCGATCTCTAAAAATATTACAAACCGGCACTTACAAACGTAATTTTTTCCAAGCTTACATTAATGACTGTTGACTTTTTAATAGAACGAAAAAATATATTCTAATTAAAAAAATGACAATGGCTCGTCGTTAAGGTAGGCGTCGGAACAAATGATACTCTCAGTTTGCAGTATTTTTAACGGAAGCATCTTTCGTATTAAAAATCATGTCAAAAATGGTGAAATTACATATAGCTTGCGATTTTTGGTAGACACCCGGTATAACTAAGAATTTTTTTAATTTTTCGGTTTATTTAAAAAAAAATAGAAGCATCTACGCTTGTGTACAATATTCAGTGCATATTCTACATTATTATTTGGTCAATACACGTTGAATTTATGAGATTTCTATAGTTTTAACATGTGTAAATTTGTTTTCTGTGTTGTATATATAATTATATATTTTCATGTAAACAAGTTAAGTATTATAACTTGTAATAAATTATAAATACACATTATCGATTCAATTAAATATTACAAGTTTCACAATTTCAGCGAGGTGTTTCATTTGTTTATTTATTATTTTTTTAATGACAAGCAAGTGGGCCAGTCCTGTATTCCTGTGTAAATTTATAATCCTACAAGTACGATTAACCTGTACCTATTAGCTTCCTTTACTTCCTGGCGACTGCAGATTATATTTTCGTTGTTTCTGCTGGTTCTGAAACGGCTACCTCCAATAAAGAAATGTGACATACACATTTATTATTTAGAATTTGTAAATTTGTCAAGTCGTGTTAAAAAAATACGGTGTTGCTATTTAAAATAATATTAGTTTAGTAGTTACTGAAGAAACCTGGCAACACCGGAAAGCATTATTTGTAAATTTTTCTTAGTCAAGTTATCTCCTACAACTTTGCATTTGGAAGTACTAGTCTATCACTTCAAATAAAAAAGTTGGCCTATGTCAGGTTTTAAAAAAAAATACGCTGTATGTGAGATTATACATATTATACTCTAGGGTGGCCCAAAAAAAAACGAATATTTTTCATGTATCTTGTGAAAATATGTTAATTTATCAAGTCGCTCAAGATTTTTAAAAATTTCAAAATCGTCAAAAAAAAATTTTTTTTTTGTTCTCGTTATTTTATCATTTTCCAGGTTGATAAAAATCTCGATTCTGAAAATTTCAAATCGATATTTTAACTTTAAAAGTACCTAAAATGTTTTCAAGCGACCTCTAAAAATAAATATCAACGAACTAATAATTATTTTTATTGAATTTGATGAACAAAAGAATGGAAATAAATCACTCTTAAAACATAATAAACTAACACATTTTCACAAGAGACACGAATAAAAAATATTCATTTATTTTTTGGGACACCCTAATATACTCGTTTGATTTTTCTCGTTTTTTGACCAAAAACTACCATTATCTCAATGAAGATGCATTTTTTCAAAAAAAAAGTTGCAAATAAATAGTTTTCCCGTATATTTTTTAAATGAAGTTACAGATTATGTGAAAATTAATGTTTTGGAGCCAAAATAATGGTTAGTATAATTTTTAAATAACAAAAGTGAATTAGAGAAATGAAAATTGCGGAAAATTCTTGAAAAATCTTATACATTTTTCCGAGGTTTGAATATTTATGATCAACGTATCATTTTGTAGGTTTTCTAGGGTGTACGTTACGAAATATGAGCTTTTTAATATTTTACAGAAAAATCTATTTTCTTTGAATTTTTTTGCGATGAAACAGTTTTCTTAAGAAATCCAGATATGCAAGTCCATAAAAAACTGTTAAAAAAGTTGTTTTTTAATTATAAATAAATGAAAAAAAATATGTTGATATATTTATTATTATACCTTTGCTCCAGAAAATTCCTTTCCTATTATCATCAAATTTAAATTTTCAATTTCATTATATTACAAATTTTTATGTTTTAATATCCAAAGTAAAAAAAATTCAGATCAGATTTTTTTTGAAAAATATTAAAAAGTGCTTAATTAAATCGTAAACTCATTAATTATACGTTTGACGGACATATATATTCAAATCTCGGAAAATTAAGTAGGTATATATGATTTTCTAAGAATTTTCCGCAATTTTCACTTCTCTAATTCACTTATTATTTAAAAATTAATTGACAATTATTTTAGCTTACATTAATTTTCAAATAATCTGTACTTCATTTAAAAAATATAGGGGAAACTAGTGAGAAAATCGAAATTTTTCATAGGAGCAATTTTGTAGAAAATTTAATTTTGAACAACTTTTATCTGAAACTTTGTTTAGAAAAAACGCAGCTTCATACAAATATTGGCAGTTTTCGGAAAAAAAACGCGAAAAATCATACCTATGTATACAGGGTGCCCCGAAATTAATGCAACAAAATTTGCTCACAGATTCTTAAGGCAAATTTGGGGGACCCGTATTTTTTTATTTTTGGCCCCCTCTTTCGGCGTTACAGGCCCCTGGAATCCGCCCCTAAGAATATTTTTTTTATATATATCTCAGATTCCATTGTACGAGAATCACTAAATTTGGTTTTATGGCATGTGAAATCTGATGGTGATACGCTTTTTGGCTGGGAACCCCCCTAAGACAATTTTTTGTTGGCCCCTTGTCCCTAAATTTGTCTTAAGAATCTATGACCAAATTTTGTTGCATTAATTTCGGGACACCCTGTATGTCTATATCGCAAAACGCTGTATGTCGTTGGTGGTTGCGTGTGTGACACATGTTTTCTGACTTCAAAACCCAAAACCCACACTTCTATAAAAAAAATTCAGAGTAAAAAAGTTTTTCCTTATTTTCCTGGACTACTTTCTTTTTATAACTGTTTCGAAGGAATTTTACTTTTTCAATTTTTTTTACAACCTCGTGCCAAACTGTCGACAGATATAAAAAATTTTCCCTATTTTTATGTGCTGGTATTATTAAGCCCACGCAAATTTTTCCTTAAAAAAATTTTTCGTTCTAAACCGATCGATTAAACGCTAATAATTTGACGACATACGGAAAAACACCAAGACAGATTTACTAGAAACGGCGGGTGGATGTATTTTTAGCAACTGATGTAACCCCTTAGTTTATAGCCTCCCGCCTTGAACTCTTTTTTTTTGAGTCGTTTTAATATACCCAAGCGAATCGAGGGCGGCGGCGGTTCTGAGAACCCCCGATCCGTAGTTGCCGCCAAAACGGTCTTTTTGTATTATTTTACCAGTCCGAGGTATCCCACTCACGCAGTTGAAAACGCCGTCGGCACGCAAAGGCCAAAGTAAACAGAACGCAGAAGTTTCCACCGCTCAAACCAGGCTTTATCAATAAGCGCCCGGCTTTATTTTAAACCTTTTATTTATTTTTAAAATGTCGAATCTGGAAGACAACGAAGACTTCTTCCCGGCGACTGGCAGGCCGTGCGCGCAATTTTAACAAACGACACACGCTCGGGGTTGCAGATTCACCCGCAATGAGAAACGTGAGTATTTAAATTTCTGTTTCTTCGCGAATAACGTCTTCTCCAGCGAATATGACCGTACGATGGACGTATCAAATCTCCTGGGTCATCTTTTAATCAACCCGACGTCGTTGTGCCTGCGGCAGAACCTGCAGGTCCCGCAGATCTACTTTTCCTCCTTGGTCTCCTGCTCCAACGACAACAGCCCGTCGTTGACTTTGCTCGTGCCGAACCAGCAGAAGGAGGAAGAGACGAAAAGCGACGGGGATGACGACTCGGACGACTGCGAGGATGACGAGTCGTCCAACGACGCGGACTACGGCTCCGGCACCGAGAACGAAGAGGGGAAGTCGGCGGAAGCGAGCAGAAAGGGAAAGGGGAAGAGTAGGCCAAAGTGTATCCACAGGACCAGGTATAATTTGCGATATTCCGAGAAACGAGCTCTTCCTTTGGTCCTTTGTAGGTACTCTAGGGAAGAATATCGTTGCGAATCCTGTCCGTATTCTTGCACGACGGAGAAGGCGTTTCTGAAGCACGTGCGACAGTGCACCGGGAAAGATACGGACCTGCACAACTCCCCCTTGTCGTGTCCGGTGTGCGGAAAGGACCGCAAGAACGAAACGTCGCTCTCTGTCCACATGGTGAAGCACAAGTCCGGCAAGCATTTTTGCTGCGATCTGTGCAAGTTCAAGAGCATACAACTGAAAAAGGTTCGTACAGGGTGTTGCGATATCCACCGATAAAATGCTACGGGTCATATATTTTTTTCCAGGTAATATTTTCTGCAAGCACTTCTTTATAACGCTTGGTACTAGCATTCATACATTTCTGTCAATGTTAAAAAGGTCTTTATTGTTTTATTACATTTTATTACTGATAGAATAAAATGAAGTGATGCGAAGTCTCGCGGTTATAAAAATTGCGTGTAAAACGACTTACTTTTCGAAATAATCTACAAGATGATACTTTTTGCGCGACTTTCCTATATTCCTCCTTCCCCTGTTGGATGTTTTCTATTACGCTTCCACTGACTTCTGTGTATCAAAATTTGTTATTTTTAGGTAGAATCAGTTTTGTGGGTGAAATATTGCAACGCCCTTCACACAAACTCTAGTAAGGTCGTAGCGCTGACAAAATTGCTTTGCTTGAAACATATTTTGTAGAAAAATTAATTAACAACAATAGGGTAGTTTCTGTTGAGAAAGGCAACAGATATATTTTTAGGATTTCTTGTAGATTATCCAACACAGACGGATGCATACGGGGGAGAAGCCACATCTGTGCCCCCACTGCAGCTACAGATCTTCGCGTCGGGATAACCTCCGTTCTCACGTTAGAAGGATGCACAACGAAGACGACTTGCATTGTGATACCTTCACGCCTAGGAAAATTTTGTTTATACCGAAACAAGCAGAACTAGTTAAATAATTTACCCCGTAGGAGGAGCATAGAGAAAAGTTGCATGTTTCATATTTGATTTGTCGCAAGGAACATGTTTGACCCCGTTGAATATTACAGTTAGATAAAATAATATGTCATTTTTATATAAATAATAATTTCCAATAAACAGCTACCTACAAGTAATGGAGAATTATCTTTGTTTTTTTTTATTTATTTGTGCGCCCAGAAACGAGTCGACTATGTCCTTTGTTAAGAAGAAGAAGACTGAGTCCCTTGAGTTTTTGTTATTTTTATGTTGGCACCTTTAGTGCCAACTGTGACAGATGACGTTGAATTGAATTGTAAGCAACTGTCAATTGTCATTTCTCACGATTATAGTGTGACATGTGTTGTTGGTTAAAATAATTTATTGGAAGAAATGACTTATTTAAAATCATGGGAAGAATTCGAAAAGGCAGCTGAAAAATTGTATCTACAAGCACCGTCGAAAGTACGATATACAATGAAATACGTGCATTCAAAAAATGTACTACTTTTGAAGATGACAGATAATGTTGTGGTAAAGAACACCTTTAAATGAATATGTCTTAGTACGTGTCTAACTAATCATTATTTTAGTGTCTGCAGTTTAAAACGGAAATAGCCCAAGACATAAGGAAAATAGATAAATTCATAAACAATTTGTTACGCCATATGGTATCTAAAGAACACTGACTTACTACTACCGAGTTACCATATTTCCCGTGGTATTTTAATTTATGAATAACTTCTCTTTAAGTATTAAATGTTAAGTGAAGTGGGTTTCCCGCTTTCCTCTGGGAAATGTACATAGGAATTTTGTTACGGTAAATTTAATTTTTTTAATAAACAGTTGTAATAGAATTCAATTTTATTTCTTACGAATCTTTTACTAAGCAATAACGGCTGGTGAAAATTAAAAAGATCATGTTTTGATAATGAAGCTTGAAACTCGGCGTTTTTTGAGCAATAAGTTTCATGTTCACGTAAAGAACTTAAAACTTACCATTTTAATTGCAAAAACGTTCTCCCAGACGGTTAAAAATCCAACCCCATAGAAATAAGTCGCAAAGGTTGAAATCTGGTGACCTGGCTGGCCACGCTACTAGACTTTCACGGCCTACTCACTTATTATGGAAAGTAACATCTAAAAATTCTCGAACCGTGGACGTTTTCCTGATTTTAAGGAACGGGGAGGAAGGGAAATTATAAACGAGTATAACGTTTATGTATTTATTTAGTAAACAATCAAAATAAGCACAATACGTACATGTCAATAAAAATTAGCTAAGCATTTGCCTAAAATGTACAAATAAATATCATAAATAAAATGGATTTACAGAATATTATACATCGTCAACAAAAAAAAATTACACTATACATAATAATGCTCCTTGTATATAAATAATGATATAGTAAAATAGGTTTACTATAGTACGGTAAATTGTTTAAATTGTCACTTTTATAATTTGAATTTTTCTCTAGTATAAAGCTAATTTTAGAGTTCTACACCAGTATTTTGTATATATTTATGTATTTCTTTGTCGGCGGAACTGTGCAAATTTTAACAAGCCAATTTCTGAAATTTGAAAATTAAATTGTCGAAATCGTGCACCGACTCGAATCCCATATGTAGTTGAATATTAAGTATCTAGATGGCGCCATTATCACAGTTAGAGACACTGAACGTTGACAACAACCCTTAACGTGTCGAAATGAATAAAAAATAATTATTGATATTAACTACTTTGTCTTGTTCAGTGTTTTTAACTGTTCCAGGCGAACGAAGTACTCGTTTGGTTTAGGATTGTTAGTCAACTCAAAATATCACCACAAATTTGCACAATTCTCTAGTTGCCGTCCCCGCTATGAAATAAGAAACATTTTAAATGGGTATAAATTTACGACATTAACCGGTGGACACCTGCCACACGATCAAATGGCTCAACTCGCCCACCTGGCTGTGACTTCCCTGAGCAGACTCCAGAAAACCCGTCCCGCCTGTGCTAACAACGCTATCCTCCATTTCGTCACCTATAGTGGGAAAAAATTATTCTTCTGGATCAAATTGGTACGGTTTAAGACAAACGATTATCAAAGTAGTTGACAGAAATCATCACGACAATACGTCGGATGATTTAACTAAAAAAAAGTTTATTTCTAAAATTGATTTGCGATAATGATAATGGGAACATGAATAATAAATGTCAGCACCTGGTGTTGCGTGTATTTGTTTTAGCCGTTTTCGTAAAGCTTACAGTGCCGTTATTTTTATTTATTAGTCCTTTAAGCTGGCTACATTTCCGAGTGGAATCCAATGAAAAGCAAAGCGATGGCAATGAAGCGTTTGACGAGTACTAATTAAACTAATAAACAAGCCTTGGTGCTTATGAACGAAAAAATTTTTACGTTGTTGAGCAGCTTTTAGGGGATTTTTATCATTTTAAACTTTGTATTTTATTTCGTGTCTTTTAATGTTTAACTTTTATTACATTCGAATTGGTGTTTATATCAATTTAAAACCAATGGGTCAATTCTGCAACACCTTTCTATAAGTTTGGAATTTTGCGTTACGTGTAGCTTACAGAATCTCTTACGAAATCGTAATTTGTTATGATCGAGTCGGGTGTCATCGAAACAACTTAGTCTTTTTGTGAGGTTAGGAAAAGACAAAATAGTTTCAACAAATGTATTTGAAAAGCAAATCTATTGAGGAATAATTAATAAACACTTGTTAAATCCTATTTCGCATTGCGTTTTATGTCTATTTGTTTAATGATTTTAACCTGTAAATGTGAAATAATATTTTTGTAAAAAGTAAGTGCAAATTGCACATTTATTTTTTGAATGCACTGAAAAAGGAAGTTTTTGATACCGTCGGTTTGTTTCGACCTTTTTGTTTACCGCTACTATAAAAATAAAAAATCTATTTTCCGTGTATAATTGATTAAGTCCCATTTCAGTTTATTTAAAAAAACATTTGTACGTGTAAACTCGGCGACATGAAATTGCAGTAGTTCATTTGCACCACTATTGTTACAGATGGTTCTAGAATTACATAATTTACGATTCTGTAAATATATTACTTACAGGTTAATTGTAGCTCATAGAATTGTAAATTTACAGAGAAAGGCAGAATCGACCCATACGTTACGTTTTTTTACTTTTTTTTAAATATATGGATTAATCTACTTCTAATGAGGTGAATTTTAATAAAATTCTGTTCACGGTAACCTATGATTTTAAAAATATTTCCAATTAGTTAAGATTTAATTTTAAATGGAAATATGGGCAGCATTTTTTATTACAAAAAAAAGTAGCTTTATTCTCATCCATTTCTAACGGAAAAAAAAAAATGAAAAATGTTGCAACTTCGTAAATTAGTAGTGAATAAAGGAATTTATAAAAGTTAATTGGTTTACAAAAGAAATAAATTAATAAGTCAAGCTCGTGTAATACAGAAGACTTTATATTTTTTACCATTTTGCCGTGTGACGCACCGATCGGGTACACTAAAACTATCTTCCGTATTACAGTCGCAAACACTGAAAGGTTCACAAGAAATGAATTTGGTAACTTCCCTTCAACTTGCGCCTGATAGGGGGGACACCATGGACACTCGTTAGCATCAGTCCTGCCCCCTGTTTGTAAAACATCCTCATTTCAGCATTATTGATCATCAGAAATGCAAAAGGAAAAAAAAAACAACTGCCAAAACTCACACCGCCTCAAAAGCTTCCCGGGTCACGCGATCGGAAACTTTTGAGACCGAGAGATCCCTACGGGGTGTGCAAATAACTCGTAACGTCTACAGCAAAGAAAAATATTAATTCAGGAAACCTACCCCACGGGATTCCCAGGAATATCAGTTAATAGTTGCCAAACTAGAAGGTGCGAAGCTCCATCTCTGGGTTCACTATCGTCTTCTGCAAATAGTTACGGGTCAAAGTAAAAGTACGTCATCTCTTCATTGTGCTTATATACAGTATTGGTTAGTTATGGGAGGACTGCCACCAAGTCATTTTAATATGGCGTACTCGTTACGTCTCTTTTAGAAATCGTAAATTGTTATTGCAAACTAGGGTGGCCGGTATGCGAAAAAAAACGACAAATTTGTGTGCATTTGCTCAATTTTTAAACGGACTATTAATTTGAAATCGTTACAAGTGTTGATATAACCTCACTTTCCATTACTTTGGTTAGAAATCATGCATGTCCACTTTTTATTTCACTGCTTGTCCACCTGTGGCAGCACAGGTTACATGATTATTGTGTTACATCGTTTATATTATCGAATTAATACGTTTTAAAATTACGACAAATGTTAGATAGACCAGGAACGGCTTTAATGTTATATATTTTTTTAGTATTGTTTGTCTAAAATCGTTAGTCGGCAGCCGAATATTTTTATTTTTTTTGCCCACACCAGACCCGCTAAAATCTTTTAGAAAATAAATAACATTTTGTCTAAACTGTTACAAACATGAAGATAAAAGTAATAAATAGAATAATAAACTGACAAAATCAAGCAAATACTTTTTTACTTACGCCACTTACAAGGCCGACTAAGACCGAGCAGCATTTACGTTTACCGCAACAGTTACGCCACAAGAAAATATGTACAAAACGAATGCCGAGCTTCTGAAAATATACCTTATATTCCCAGGAATCCATAATTTTAACCTAAACACTCACAACTCCAAGAAGTAAGGCTAATCTACCGACTGTGCTCTACATGCGCATGCTTACTTAAATAATCAGAAGCGGGATAGTCATGCCTGTGAAAAAAAAATCTGCCTCGACTTACCTATTCTAAAGTCCACGTAGCCCTCCCCGCCCGAGATCACCAGCATCGCCGTGGGCTGCTTCAGCTGGCCGCCCACGGACGAGACGGAGGCGGACATCGCCTCGGAAGGGGTAGACGCAGCGCTCATTCCTACGAATATCACGTTAGCGAGAAAAGTTAAGTGGAAAAGGATAGAAAACTTACCTCCGTTCCCTGGGACGGCCACGAAGAACTTTACGTTGTCCCTGTGCCCGTGGAAACTGAGCTGGGCGTGCGCCATGGTGCAGAAGGGGACGTAGCTCCCGGGGACCGGCATAATCCGCACTCCGGCGCCGGGCAGACTACCTCTAGGCACGACGGCGCCCGAGGTGCCGCCGCCTTCCGTGAGCGGTACGGAAATGATCACGCCGTTGCTGGTGCCGATCCACAGGCGATTCGAGGAGATGAGGAGGCTGGTTATGCGCACCAAGGAAAAGCCTAGTTTGCCAGTGCCTGGAAATGTGATTTACATCTGAATTTATTAAAACAGTTGTTTGGGACTAACGCGTTTACGGAAACGATATAAAGACAGATAACATTGTCTCCTGCCGTTTGACTGATTTTTCTTAAGCTGATCAATTTAAGTATTTTTATATATACCGAAGGTCGTATTATAAGATTTTCTCGAATTACGTTGTAAAACTGATTTTTTTGTAATTTTAATACCTGACCATTGGACAGACTATTATAACTGTAAACCTAGCACGCTAACAGCCACCTTATACTTAATTGTGAGCTAGATTGTACACTAGTCCGGTCAAATTAGGTTTTTTTTTTTTTCAAAAATCGGACCTAACTCGAATTTTATGAACTTAAATTTAAATAAAAACCACACAGAATAAAAGCCTAAATTTGTGTATTGTAGAGGTCGAGCGTCGTATTGTTTATAACAATAGGAAAAAAAAATTGCTTTTTTCAGTTTTTCCCTTCTATCTCTAAACTTCTAATCGACATGAGGTATAGATTTTGTTCCTGAGGAAATTTGCTACAAGGAAAGGCTTTTGCGAAAGCTCGAAAAATTTTTTAACATTGCAAAATTAGCGGTGAAAAAAAATGTGCGCAATTTTCAGAATTAAATAAAAAGAATGAATTTGACTGAAATTGGGTGAAACTACGGGAAAAGATAACTGTTGGGGTGCTTAACAAATACCCGCAATCCCAATCCCCAATTTCAAAATAGCGGCCTATTGCAAAATTATAAATTTAAAAACGCGAGCGCGTATATCTTCTGCTTAAGTCAAGATATCGAAATTTGATATAAAAGGATCGAAACGTAATTACATTATCTCGCGTCTGTGTAAATTTCAGATTTCTATGATTGAAAATATAATTATTAACAAAAACCAAAAATAAACGGTAACTAAGGTCCTTATATTGGCGATTTTTTAATATACAGATTTCAAACCAATTGCATCAAATAGTGCTTAAAAAAACACGAATTAAGAAAAAAAAAGCGTCTTGATCCAACCAATAGGAGCCAAGATTTTTAAAACGGTATTTTGGCTGGTCTATTTAATATTTTGTAATAAATTTGGGCTCGTTATAAAATAGAAGACTTCCTTTATACACAGAATTTTTTTTTAATGGATTCGACCAAGTAAACATTCGTTATGCTGCGCCCGATTTCTCAAAATTCTTACTTAACAAATGGTTAGCACTTAGAAAGCAGGTACCAGGATACTTTTTTTTAAAATCAACTTATTTTTTCGCTCTTTCGAATGGTGCAAGTAAAAGTCTGTGAAAGTCATCGCTAAACCCCAAAAAATACATTTTTATTGAATTTTCACGTTTTCATTTGGAATTTTATTATGCTTTCGATATTTAAGCATAATGAAATTACAAAAGAAAACGTGAAAGTCAGTAAAAATGGGTCTGGCGATGACTTTCACAGACTTTTGCTTACACCATTCAAAAGAGCGGAAAAAGAAGTTTATTTAAAAAAAAAAGCATCCCGGTGTCTTTAACGAATGTTTACTTGGTCATTTCTTAGTCGAATCCATTAAAAAAAAATATTCAGTGTATAAAGGAAGTCTTCTACTTTACAACGAGCCCAAGTTTATTACAAAATTGAAAATATTAAATAGAACAGCCAAAATACCGTTAAAAAAAACTATCTCGGCTCGTATTGGTCGAATCGAGATGCTTTTTTTTCTTAATTCATGTTTTTTTAAACACTACTTGATGCAATTGGTTTGAAATCTGTATATTAAAAAATCGCCGAGATAAGGAACCTAGTTACCGTTTTTTTTTTTGTTTTTTTGTAATAACTTCTTTATTTTGTAAATTAAAAATTTGAAATCTTCGATATCTTGACTTGAGCAGAAGATATACACGCTCGCATTTTCAATTTTATAATTTTGAAATCAGGGGTCCGGATTGTGGATATTTGTTGAGCACGCCAACAGTTATCTTTTAGTGTTGTTTTATCCCGTTTTAGTCAGATTCGTTCTTTTTTATTTAATTCTGAAAATTTTTCAAATTTTTTATTCACCGCTCATGTTGCAATGTAAAAAAATTTTTGCGAGCTTTCGCAAATGTCCATCTTTGAGCAAATTTCCTCAGGAACAAAATCGATAAGTATACTTCATGTCGATTGGTGGTTTATTTTCTGAGGTATAAGCGAAAAACTGAAAAAAAAGCTTTTTTTTTCTTTTGTTATAAACAATACGACACTCGACCTCTACAAATACACAAATTTAGGCTTTTGTTCTGTGTATTTTCTACTTAATTTTAAGCCCATAAAATTAGAGTTAGGCCCGATTTTTTAAACAGGCATGTGTTTGGTCTAATTCGTCCTTGTTATACATGTTTTTTCATAGCACACCTTGTCATTTGTTTTTTGTCCACCTTACGCAGACACATCAGACGTATTGTTGTTATGCAGTTCACCTACATAGGTCATCGACACCGAGATTCACAAAATAAACACAGTGCTTTAAGAAAACAGTAAATTTAGTACTTTTCATTGAAAACTTTAAATGATTTTAAAAAATAATTCGGATCTATTGGATTAGTACGAATTTTCATAAAACAGGAAAAGTGATTATTTTAAAATTTTAGCTCTTTCCGTTAGTTTCTACACTCGGTTTAAAAAGGTAACAACTGGCAACGCTGATAAGAGCGCTGCCCAGTGACGGCGTAGACAAGAATTTAAGGCAATTTATTTGATTTAAAAAAACTTATTTCAGACTCCTATTATTATAATAAAAACACTTCAGATATTTACAAAACGGCTTACCTAACATTTTACTAACGTACGGTTCGATATCGACGTCTTGCAAGTGCTGATACGTATGGGCGTGATATAACCTCAAAGTGGAATCCAGCCGAATGGAAACCCACACGCCTTCCCCCAGCCAAGCCATTTGCCTCACCTAAAAAATAATTATTGGAACGGGCCATCGATCACAAAACCGTCGATTACTTACAGGGCTCTCCCTCCTAGGGTGCGCCTCCAGGGTGTGTATGACCTGCAAGTCGTGCGGTTGGAGAACGTGGATCTTATTCCTGTACCCGCACCACACCTTATCGCCCACCACCGCCAGCTGACGCACCGACTGATGTGGTAGACCCAGCTGCACCAGATGGTACTGGGACAGGTCCCATTCCCCTTCAGAGTTTCTCTTGAAGATGGCCACCTGGCCGCACGCCAGCGCCACTACCACCCTCCCGTTGATGTGACTGAAACGGGGAAAGTTAAACGTTTCGTTCCGGCGCCACGTTCGTCTATACCTACACTATAGCTATGACGGCGTCCTTCATCTTTACGGTGTGCAGGCACTGCGCCCAGTTCGTCACCGACGAATGGACGTAGATGTTGCCGTGCTCGTCCCCCATCCACATCGTCGCCAACACGCTGGACATGATTTCCTGGCTCTGGGTCTCTCGCGGCTGGTCGTCTCGTTCCTTCTGCGCGGGGCTTTGTTTATCTTTAGTTTCATCGGGATCTTCGGTTTTGGGCCGATCCTCCTCGGATTTTATGGAATCTAACGTAGTATCACAAGTCTCACAGGTCTCGTTTAAAGCTTCTTTGCCACTATCACAATTTTCCTCCTGGGCTTTTGCGTACTTGTCTTTTTTGTTTATCGCCGACTCGTCCTTCTCCACAAACGTTACTTTGCCCAGCTGAAACGCAACACGTACAAAAAAAAAATTACTGAAACAAATTTTTAACTCGTTATTTACCGCTGCTGCCTCTTCTTGCTCCTCGTGGTTCCTGATACTCTGCTTGCTACTAGCGACGCTACTGGGTGGCCCTGACCCACCGGTTTCGCCGCTCTGAGTCGCGGCCTCCTCGTTCGACTTGAGGGAAGCGGGCGGGGTGCCGGAGGCTGGTACGTTGTCAGCGGGACAGTCTTTACTCACGTTAACCTCGTTATTACACTCGACTTTGGCAACTGTTTCGAAGTAATCGCTGGGACTAGCACCGGGTACGCTGGCGATGCAGAGGATGTGATTGGAGCACACCCCGAAACTGTTAAGCAGCTCCGCCGGGTTGTTGGCGTCGATCACGGTAACGATACTGGCCGAGTGCGTGGTGGTGCATATCCACACCAGCGAGGACAGGCGGGTCTCGAGGAGAGCGCCCTCCTTGCCGTTGTTTAACTCCTTATCGAGACTCTCCACCTCGGACTGGGCGCGTTTGGGGGAGGGGATTTTCGGCTCCTCGGAATAGAATACGCTGCCTCCTACCTGCCAAATTTTCGTTCGTGTCAGTGTGCGTCATAAGCGTACAAATGGGAAAAACGTGTCGTTATTTATACATTTTAATTAAATGTTGTTTAAATTGACATTGGAAACTAGTTGATAAAATAACATACCATTAACCCGCCATCTTTGGTATAGCCTCCCATCAAATTGACCCCGGCGGCGCACCAGATCCTCATGGCGGGCGTGGTTTCGGCCAGAGGCCTGCAATAAACGGGCACGGGAACGGGGACGCCTCCGCTGCTCTGTTTTCCCGCCGGACCGGCGTTAACTTTGCCCGGCAGGCTCCAACCGTAGGCCTGCAACCTGCCGTCCTCCTTCTTGACGTGGGCCCGCACCTGACGGTACTGCTCCCGTCTCTCCAACGCCTTTCTCACGGCCAGCTTGTCGGAACCTAAAAACGAGCCGCTATATGATTTTTAATACTGCTTGTATTGCTACTTACAATTTTTGTAACTACTGTCAATCTTGTACCACCTAATAATATCGACTAAATACTCGCTATCGGCCCTACACGGGGAAAGAAAACCTGTTCCTGACATTGGAAAATAAAACACTAATCGAAATTAAATAAAATATATTTCAAACTCAACAATCACAAACAGAAATTAAAGTAACATTTGGTAACAAGTATTTGACGTTTAAGACTAGATTAGTTGAACGTGGAACTTTGGGCGAACGTTACAAACAATCCGTAAATCTAGACATTAAGTAGTTATTAGCAAAACAAGTAAGTGCAAAGTAAATCATAAGTGTGTAAAAAATTAATTCGAGAAATTCGTAAGATCATATTTTAAAACTTGCTACGATTTTCGATTTATTTGTATCAGTATTTTATATGTCCATTCTATTATGAAAATATTCCATTTCCTTTTGATTCTTGTACCTTCAACGAAGGATAGAAACAAAAAAGTAACACTGCCCCACAGGAAAGCAAATTCAATGTGTGATAGACTAAACCACCATGCCCATACATGTTCAAGGTTATACGAAGGTCAACTTTTTTTAAGGTAATACAATTTTTGTCCCCAAATTCTGCAAGAGCGAGAAATTTTACGTCCAGACACGTGGTTGATTTATTTTTAAGGATCTGTTCGAGGTTATTTGAAGGTCAACTCTTGGTTTTTTTTTTATTTCTGACCCCGAATTCTGAAAAAGCCATAAATTTTATGTTCCGAGACATGATTAGGTCAGTTTCAAAGTATTTGAAGGTTAAATCCCTCAGATGACTCAAACAACTTTTGTAGAGGTAATTTTCCCGATCCTGCCACGTCTCCAATCGTAAAATTTCTCGCCCTTTCAGAATCCGGGGTCAGAAATTGTATTCCCGCAAAAAAACAAGAGATGACCTTCCAATAGTCTTGAACATGAGCCAACTTCTTCAAACATTCACCACCTTCAGATTCAACGACCCCAAAAACATACAAAAACGGTTATCTTAGTCAATCACACATTAATTTTTCTTTGCCGTGGCGTGTGTAGTTAATAAATCAATGATCGCATAGGTAGAACTATAAATTTTTTAATTTTTGTCACCTTTATAAAAACGACAAAAGAATATTAGTCGCGAATTAAGAATCGCATTTGTCAATGTTACAGCAACAAACTTTATACTTTTACGGTGAATCTGGCGCTATTTGAAAAACAAAACAAATAAATCGAAACCGTTGACGGACGTAACATAAAAATTATGGCAACTTATAATTATGAATATATAAACGATATACAACTAAAAAATGTTCGAGGCGAGAATTACTTATTTTCTTATACAATAATGCAAACAATTAAAGGGTCAAATGTATTTCTGAAATTTTTCCGTGATTTTTGACTCACTGTATTTAGGTGCAAAATTGTCATATCGGGAATTAATAAAAAGCTCTAAGATTCTAGTTTTATTTATTCAGCTTCAATTTCCTTTTTTTTAATTTTGATACGACCATTTTTCATCGAAATATTGGACTTTTAATGGAAAAGGATCCTTTTGTCTTCAATCATCGATATCTGGGCGACAAATATGGTCGTGCAGAGAATTGAAGGGCAGTTTTGAAAACTGAAATAAATTTCCTATAACATGCTGCCGCAACTTTTCGGGAAAAAATTTGTTTTCATCTTTTACACGAATTTTAAAAACGGAAGAAAAAGGGTAATCTATAGTTTTTTAGAAAATTGACGGCTATATTAGGAATATTCACGAAATGACTAATGTTAAGCATGACTTTTACAGTTCGATATACCCAGAGGAACCCTGTGAAGTTTCGTCTTGATCTAGCGAACAGTTTTTTTGTTTCAAACAAACATTTGAAAAAAATTAAGGGGTCACGTATTTTTAATTTAAACACTTCATAATCATGATTAAAATGGAAAATTTTTTATTGAGGTTTTCTCACATTTTTACCGCAAACGTTTAAATTTTTTTAATAAATTTTCAAAATGTGCGTAGTTTTGAAAAAACTGTTTTTTTAAGTGACAGACTGCACAAAAATTAATTAGAAATTTGTATGGGTCAACTTTAATTTTAATTTAATTAAAAGTTGAACAAAAGCATAGGACGCAAAAGCCAAATCGTGCTGAAAACAATTATATTTTGTTTTCTTCAATGTCTGGAAGGTTTTCCAAAAAAAAAATTCGAAAATTTTTCAAAAAAATTTTTATGTTCATTAACTTAAATGTTGTTTGCGGTAAAAATGTGAGAAAACCTCAAAAAAATTCGACCCCGATTCATATCATTTTTTGAGACAAATTTCTAATTAATTTTTGTGCAGTCTGTCACTCAAAAAACAGTTTTTTCAAAACTACACACATTTCGAAAATTTATAAAAAAAATTTGTTTTTCATTTTTCATCAATTTAAACGTTTGCGGTAAAAATGTGAGAAAATCTCAAAAAACAAAATTTTCCCATTTTAATCAAGATTATGAAGTGTTTAAGCTCAAAAAACATGACCCTTTAATTTTTTTCAAAAGTGTGACAGTTTGATACAAAGAAACGGTTCGCTAGATCGAGATGAAACTTCACAGGGTTCTTCTGGGTATGTCGAACTGTAAAAGTCATGCTTAACATTAGTCATTTAGTGAATATTTCTAATTTAGTCGTCAATTTTCTAAAGAACCATAAATTACTCTTTTTTCCTGTTTTTTAAAATTCGTGTAAATGGTGAAAAAAAAAAATTTTCCCGAAAAGTTGAGGCAGCACGTTATAGGAAATTTATTCCAGTTTTTGAAACTGCCCTTCAATTCTCTGTATGATCATTTGTCGCCGAGATATCGATGATTGAAGACAAAAGGATCCTTTTCCATTAAAAGTACGATATTTCGATGAAAAATGGTCGTATCAAAATTTAAAAATAAAGGAAATCGAAGCGGAATAAACAAGCTATCTGGTATATGCAATGGCTTAACTAAACAAAAATTTCCAAGTCCGTGGACTCTGGAAAAAAAAATTAAAATTTGCAACATTTTTTTGTCGCGCTATTAGAATTGCTTGACAATCGTAGCTTCTAAAAAATTTCCATCGAAAGATCAAAAAACTAGAATCTTAGAGCTTCAAAATACTTTTTTAATTCCCGATACGACCATTTTGCACCTAATTGCAGTCTGTCAAAAATCATGGAAAAATTTCGGAAATTCTTTTGACCCTTTGCATTAGTTTACTAGGATTACTGTGACGTGTGATGAATTTGAAGGCAATCGAATTTGACACAGCCTAAGTTTCATTGAAAAAACAAAAAAAAAACAATTTAGATCTACACACCACCCTGTTATCATAAGTCGTTACCGTTACACAACTTAAAAAGTTCATTAGAGAACAAAAACAATTTGCATCTAGATTAAGTCTCTCTGCATGTGTCTTGTCACAATTTGCAGAAACAACAAAGGAAAATATCTGGGCTGGAAAAAATATTATTAATTCTTTTTAGTCTCTACTGTAATGAATCAAAATTAAACGGAGGCCCTTTGGTAAGTGAAACAAGGCAGTTTCTGAAACCGAAAATCTTTTACTTATATTAAAGTCAAACTATTCTCACGGTTATTTTTTAAGTAGAAAAGGGAGATTTTATGGAAAAAAAATTAACAATAAGTTATTTAGAAAGCTATTAAAACAAACGAAACATTGAAAGAACGTACGTATCTGCTTCACAGTAAAAAAAATTACGCTCAAAAAAAAACCGACGTATTTTTTTAAACTAATGAAAATTTTCAAGTGCACTGGTCCTTAATTGTAACCAAGGTGAGAGATTCGACATATAACCTCCCGTAAACAGATCCAAACTCTCATATTCGTCGCGTAACCCCTTACAAACCTAAAACGTCGAAATCTAAACACTTCCGCAAGTGGCTACCGCCCACGTACACGCCCTAAATTTATCACAGACAAAATTGACAGCAGATACAGGTCTACATCTAAAAAATTCACAATTCCGTACCCATTTCCGTCTCGATGAGGTCGTGGCCCAGCCTGGGCAGGGCCTTGATGCCGGGCGCCACCTGGTTGGTGGACGACTGGTACCGCAGGTGGGGCACCACCAGCGGCCGCTGCACCCTGTCGTTGCTGCTGAACAGGTTGCTGAAGAAGCGCCAGATGCTCTTGTTGCTGTGCTTCTCGAAGGGGGTGTCGCCGCGGGACGCGCGCAGCATCTCCGTCCAGCGGACCGCCTCCTGCAGCTCCATGAAGCGTTCCTGGTGGAAGAACTTACTTTACAGGCGGAATGGGAGGTACCGAACTTGGCAGTTCATCGACATCGACAAAAAATAAAGGATAGAGGCCCCAAGGCAGAGCCTTGCGGTACACCAGACACGAATCCACGTTCGACATTTTTTTTAAAATTTGGCTTACTTTGTATTGATTGCGCTCCATAAGCACCCTGGCCATCTCGACCCTGGTGAACCGCTTCCGCTGCGCCATGGGCACGTCGGACTCGTCGTCGGCCTCCTGTTTGGCCTCGTTCGCCTCCTTCAACTTTTTCAGTTCCTCCTCTAGTTCGCTTATCCTCTCCTTGAGCTTGGTCCTGGAAACGTTCAGGGACAGTATCTCGTCCCGCAACATGTCGATCTCTCCCGTCAGCTCGTCCACCTTCACAATCAGGTCATCTTTAACAACATTCAGAGCGTTCCTAAAAAAAAAGGGTGTAAAAACGGCAACGCCGAACTTGGCGGACTTACTTTGTGGCCAAAAGCTCGTTGTTCTCCATGATGAGATTCTCGACTTCTTTGCCCATGCCTAAAGTAGGGACGACAAAAAAAATATGTTTTATAAGTGCACAAATTTTGAAGAGCTTCAACCCAGATCAAAATCCTACGCTACTTAAATTTTTAAACGTAACGATATAGCGAAATTCGACAGTTTATATTAAGCATTAGCATATTTACATGATTAGAATGTATCTGCGGACTTACCGTAAAAGTTATCGTTGACTGTCCAAGCGGGGTTAGATGAAAAATAAAAATTGTTAGTCGTAAATACAGCGTTAGCTCGATTCCGCAAGAATCATAGAACGGAAGTTTCGTATTTCAATTTCAATTAATTTTATTAACTCTCAATAGACCGATCAAAGTAACTCTAGAGGGAAAAAAAAAAGAAAATTGTTACCTGGAATTTCATAAGTGGAAATGGTAAAGGGGCTTATAATAAACGAAAAAAAAAAATGCGTGAGCAGGGACGGCGGAGGGTTGATTTGGGGGGTTGAAAACTTATGAAAAATTGTATCATTGGGATTTCTGGCGAAAGTTGACGTCAAACAAAAAAGTATCTAATACAAAAGTTGTAGATCATACAAAAATCTACAACTTTTGTAGAGGTCATTTTTTAACAACCTGAAAATTTCAGTGAAAAATGCAAAAAACAGGTTTTTTTCTGATTTTTCGTTTTTTATTTCTCATTTCCGCAAAAATAATTTAATTTTGACGAAACTTGGTGAAAGTATACCTTTCTCTGTCTTAAATAACCTCAAATTTTTTTAGATAAAAAAATCAAGAAGTTTCTGAGATATTCATTTTTTCGGCCTGAAACACTTTTTTCCAAAGAAAAATTCTACTTAAAAAAATCATCGTACAGAGTTCTACCAGTAATCATTTTTTTCGTTTTGACATACTTTTTGGTGAAATAAAAAAATCTAATAACATTTCAAAAACATGCTCAAAAATGCAAAAAATTAAAAAATTACTTGCAGCAATGAATTTTTCAGTAATTGTTGATAATTTGTTTAAATTTAAAACAAAAATCATAAACGGATTACACCATTCAATTGTACGGAAAAAATACAAAATAAAAACTGTCTCATTGTCTGACCCAAAACTATTTTTGTACAGTATTGCTATAAACATAAGTCGAATAGTGAATAAATAAAATAAATAATAATTTTTTTTCAGTCAGATCGATTAGTGTACTTACTTTTTTAAATTTTTTTAAAGTTTGATGAATTCATAAATATACAGTGTGTCCAAAATAAGGATGGGATAGCATTAGGATTTAGGAAACGGTAAGATACGGGGGGGCCTCAGATTAGAAAAAAGTTGTGTTTTTTTATACCTAACAATATACTGTTTAGATATCCGGAAAAACCCAAAATTTTGCAAAATTGTTTAATTTTTTCTGGCTTTATTCGAAAACGAATTTTAAAATAAATTACATATTTACAATGCCACTTTTTTGCGCTCTATACAATGGCGTCAACATTTTTGCAATTCGACGTTTCGTCTTCGAAGGGCCATCATCGGGTTAATTTTAAATTATAGCTAAAACAACCTAAAAAATTTTTAAGCAATTACAATAGTACATATTGTCTAATTCAGAACTAAGAAAAAATAAAAATGACTAGATTTTGTCATAAAAATAGCAGCGATATATTTAAAAAAATTGATCTGATGATGGCCCCTCGAAGACGAAACGTCGGATTGCAAAAATGTTGACGCCATTGAATAGAGCGAGAAAAGTGGCAAAATAAATATGCAATTTATTTAAATTTCGTTTTCAAATAAAGCCAGAAAAAAATAAAACGATTTTGTAAAATTTTGGGTTTTCGGATTTCGCATCAACAGTAGACTTTGCAGTTAATACTTTCTACTGCTGAGATTTCAAATCATCCAGAGATAATTTATTATTTGTGCATTTGTAATTCGACTTAGATGTTTATAACAATAATAAAGGTTTGGTTCAAACAATGGGACACAGCTTTTTTTTATATTTGTCCGCAGAATTGAATGGTGTAATCAGTTTTTGAATGTTTTTTAATTTAAACAAATTATCAACAATAACTGAAAAATTCATTGTTGCAAGTCATTTTCTATTTTTTTGCATTTTTGAGCATGTTTTTGAACTGTTATTACAGATTTTTTTATTTCACCTAAAAGTATATGTCAAAACGAAGAAAATGATTACCGGCAGAACTCTGTACGATGATTTTTTAAGTAGAATTTTTCTTTGAAAAAAAGTGTTTCAGGCCGAAACAAATGAATATCTCAGAAACTTCTTGATTTTTTTATCTAAAGAAATTTGAGGTTATTTAAGACAGAGAAAGGTATACTTTCACCAAGTTTCATAAAAATTAAATTATTATTGCGGAAATAAGAAATAAAAAACAAAAAAAAAGAAAAAAAAACTGTTTTTCGCATTTTTCTTGGGAATTTTGAGGTTATGTTAAAAAGTGACCTCTACAAAAGTTGTATATTTTTGTATGATCTACAACTTTTGAATTGGATACTTTTTTGTTTGACGTCAACTTGCGCTAGAAATCCCAATGATACAAGTTTTCAACCCCCCCAAATCAACCTTCCGCCGCCCCTGCTCACGCATTTATTTTTTTTAGGTTTATTATAAGCCCTTTTACCATTTCCACTTATAAAAGTTCAGGTAACAATTTTTTTTCTCCAAGTGTAATTTGGTTGGACTACAAAGGTCACAACTAGTGCGAATTTTCGGGAAAGTTAACCTTCACCACCGAATCTATAATTACAAGCGTTAGTAAAAATAAACTATAATCGATTACACACAAGATGTTTACAAACATTCCTCCCCGTTCTACGACCGTTGCTCGGTTTTCAAAATGAGGCATTCGAAGCGGATAATTAACACGGATAAACCTATCGACTTACCGGATGAAGCGTATTCTCCGGGATGAACCCATCCTCCTGAAAATACGATCACGGTTTATATATATTTCTACAGAGTTAAAAAAATATTTCACGCGTTATAAATTACCTGTAATGTCACTGGCGTCTTCGTCCCCGTCGTCCTGTAATTAAAGGAATTATCGATATGTGCTTAAAAGTTTTAGTTCAGCAGATAGGGGTTCAGAGGTGATTTTCCGGGAACCCCAACAATTTTTTTTTACAAATAAGCTATAAATATGTCATAAAACAAGGAAGTTTACTACAATTTTAAGGAAAACGTTGATTTTTGCTTTTTTCGTTAATTGCAGAATTATTTTTGAAATAAAAGCAATTGAAAATTTCATTTAGAACAAAAACAATCTCTTGCATTTTCTTCGCAAAGTGCGATCCTACCGAGATATTGAAGAAAAACAAATAAAAATATTTGTTGCCGAAAATTTATGGAAAACGACAGCAATCGCGACGTTTTGGTCCTTCGCCAACCGGATTACTACATTTTAATCTCGTGTTTACACAAATTCTGACTTACGTGATAGCTGAGCTCCTGATATAGCGTGTTACCACTCCTTTCCTCCTTCTTGGTATTTATCCTGCTGTTGTTAGTCGTGGGGGCCTGGGGGCTAACTGGTGACGTAACCATGCTCTTATTCTCCAGACTGAGCGAATCCGTAGCCTGTCCCCTTTCAACTTTGGTTACACCCTCTTTGGGGCTATTGTCCAGTTCACTATGGAAACTGATATGAATACATTGAACAAAAATGACCTATTTGCAACGTTTTGAAAAGCAATCATAAAAAAAGATATTAAATCATCCCATACCCATACAATTTAGTACTTTTTCAAATTTTTTAGTATCGTGTTTAAAATAAATTAAATGGGGATAAGATCGGGGAAGTTAGTCGGTCATAAAGTCCGTATTTTAAGGAAACGATTTAATTACAACGAACATTTTATTTACCTCGGAGAAGAGTGGGTGCTACTTATAGGCGACGATGGCACACTGTCGACAGTCTCAGCGTTCTCCAAGGAGGCGAACCCGAAAGAGATGGGCCCCGAGCTGCGCCCCATATTTATCCTGTTTGAATTCAACCGTCCCGCCTCGGCCCTCTCGTTGGCCAGCTGCTGGCCGGAATGCAACAGCTTGGTCCTCTCCATATAATCTACGTGGGTCTTGAACAGTTCGGTGTAGCGCTCGTGCAGCTTGGCGTACTCCTTCTTGAGTTCCGCCTCCCGCTCCTCCAGCCTACCGGCGTGGTCCATGGAGTTCTTATGTTTGAGTTCCAACATGCGTACGATGCTTTCGAGTGCCTCCAACCGAGCGGCGAGCTCCTTTCTCTCGCCTTAGGGAAGTATATAACAATAAATGGTCGTTGAACGTATTTTTATAAATTTGGCGTTTTGGTTTTGGTAATTTTTGAAAAAATAATTAATTACAGCAGAGGAAATATTAGATCTATGGAGGGTGTCCTATTTATACTCCAAAAAATGGTCGCCCTGGTCTAAAATAGAAGGGGTAGTTCATTTAACATTTTTCTCATCAACGTTGCGTTTCCGAGTTAAAAACTAAATTGTTAAGTAAAGTGTTAAACAGTTTCTCTAGTGTAAAAGAAAACAAGTTCTCAGAAAAAGATCTGGAGAATATAAAACTACATTTTGAAGGAAAAAACTAACAATGGAGATTGAAATGGGAATAGACAGTTAACAGAGTGGAACTTTGTCAACTAATAATCAAATCCTCCTACAAACGTTCCTTGACAACACCACAGGAAATTTCATTATAAACCATACAACTTTGGTTTCGCAAAACGAGCGTGACTATTCAAGGGTTACATTCTAATCAAACAGCGGGAGAGTGCGAGGATTTTCTTGTTTCGCCTTTTTATACTTTTTAAATCCTCTAATTAATATGTTTACTTAAAAATTTACCTTGGGTCTAGCGACCCAATTCAGAAAAAAATATTAATAGAACTAGAGATTTATTTCGTAAGAAATCATTTTTTTTTATGTTTATGACAGATATAATTAAAAATTTTAATTGGAATCTTACTCTATCACCCAAACTGATTGATAACTGTTGATATAATTTACGACTATTATCAATACCTGCATATCTGATATTATTTCCAAATTTTATCCACAAACCTATTTTTTTATATCACAAAACAATTTAAAACATAATTTTATCCAAGTTTCATATTTTAGACTTCTGCAAAACTTCCTTATAAATATTCAGTGATAATTTCACTTTTACAGAGCAATTAAAACAGCAATTAACAATCACATCTCAAGAGTAAAAAAGTTGAATCTCGTTAAAGGAAAAAGGTTAATTTGAGTAGCATGGACGATTCACTTTTTCCCATATAAAAATAATGTAATAACACTATAAATATTTACACATTCGTGAACAGCAGAAAATAAGTTGTATCCTATATGTTATGAAAGTAAACTTATAAATATGTAAACATATTGTTTGCATATAATTTACCACAGGGACTAATTATTTAAATAGACGTTAATTATCAGTTATTAAAAAAAATAACTTTTAAGTAGGCTAGCAAACAGAGGATATAAAAATACATACTAGATAATTTAAATACCCAAAATTAATAAGTGCATCTTTGTTCGTTCAACTAATCTTATCTCTAATTAAGAACAAATGTAATTAAACAAACATCCAAGAACATTCCTGCATGTTTACGAATTAAATCAACTATTATATTAAGACATAAATAGCTAATGAAGCTAATGTGACATTATAATTGACTACAATCACATACCTTCTGCTGCGTCTTCATATTCCAGCAATTTCTGTTCGGCTGTCTTCCGGGCACCTTTCTCCCTTTCATATTGAGTAACCAGTTGCTCGTTATCTTCCCTTAACAATTCTAACTCGACGTCCTGCTCCTGCAACACCATATGTTCCAATTTGTAGGAACCTAGATGTAAGAGTCATCATGTTACCTGATTCTGTTGATAGGCAGCGTCCAGGCATTCCAACACGTTCACGAGTAAAGGCATTAGGGTTTTTACAACATCCTCATCATACCTTGCTATCATTCGTTCGAATTCTTGGTAAATACTGCCAGCCAGGGATTGCACTTTTTCCGACATGACGACATGAGAATCTTCGTGTGTTCCATAGACCGTTTCGCCCCCCAAGCCGAGGCTACCCCCGGAATCTTCCAAATTCATATTTATATTTTCACTTTTATGAACCTACTTTTAGTATCGAATCTAATTTGCACATATTAGCGTTTTTGCGGTAGATCAATTATTTTATGATTAACACACGATCGGAAATAGCATCGAAATACATGGCTTAACACTGTTTTTCCTTATAGAATTTTTGTTACACCCACCGTTTTTGACAAGTCCGTCACATCTCATCTGGGCGAAAAACCTTTTCTACCATGTTTGCTTTGTTGCGAAAAGGATTTGCGCAGTAACGAAAACAATAAAGTCCCTAAAATGCAAATTTTTTATTAGTAATGTTAATATTGCGAACTTCCTATATTTAACTCACCTGATTAATCAATCGATTTTCCTAGAAATTTTAGGATATTTAAAACTACATTTCAGAAAAAATTATTAATACTATGAAAACCTATTTACCTTTCTTGTTTCTGTGTTTTTTGTTTAGTAATAAAATGAAACTTAAGCGTATCGTGACCTAATACCTAATCTGTATTTTATGCTGAATAGTGAATGTTAACTTGAGATAATATGCAGTCTTATGTATTTTGATAAGAGTCCTGGGAATTCGTAACAACTGAGGTTATTAATCAAATTTTGAATTACTGTGCAATTTTAATGTTGGCTACCATACCGGATGTACGTGCCCATTTTTGATGATTTCTTATCATGTACAAAATTAATCTTGTGTTTAAATTGCGGTTAGGCAAAAGCAAAACTAAATTTATAAAATCACCTCGTCTTTACAATGCATATACTAGGTATATTATGCTTTGTGTCCTTGATTAACTAATCTTTCTGATGCAAGGGGTTATTATTTTATTTCTTTTCGGTACGGCTGAAATAATAAAAAATTACAAAAATCCTGCTCACTTATTTTTATTTATATAACTGTGACAATGACGGTAAAAGTAATATATTTTAAAAAGTGACGCGTAAGCAAAAATCATATTTTTTAAATTTACCGCGAGTACTTCAAGAAAAGCATTTGCCAACCCTGTTTATTTAATCAATTCAATTTTCAATTATTTCGTGTAATATCACTTCCGGTAATTTCGACCTTAGGTTTGTTGCAATAAATGAATATAACTGTGGCCAATTTGGTTCCGATGTTTGAATTTTAAAATAAGGTGTTTTCTAGCTTTTAATCGGCCTTTGTGTTTTTTGCAATTCAATTCCTGACCAATCACAAACTGCATTCGGGCCTCTCTAGCTCATTCTGTTTTTGGAGGTTTTTCAATTTTTTTCCTTAACGGAGTTATTTGCACAGAAACCGACCATCCCCGTGCGTTCAGCGACCTCAGATGTATAGGGAACCGCCCTTAGAAATGCACTTTAATTTTTCGAAAATTTTTGTGCTGTTAAAAATGCATAATTCCAATCAGTTATTAGTTCAGTGAAGTGGAACGCTCACTTGTGTCGATTGACCAATCACACCTCATTTAATAGTTCTAAATTTTCATGCTGCCATCTACCGCTCGGAATCTGCACTAAGCTTCGGAAGCCAACGTTGATTGAAGTTTTCTGTTTATTATTGTTTATAAAATATTTGACTACTAAAATTATTTTTACTTTGTTGCCTTTGTTTATCCTTTACCCAACGCTGTGCAAAATCTTACATTTTCATTAAAGCCTTTCAAAAATAATATAAATGGGTCTATTTTCTGTTCTTTGTAATGCGTGTTCAGTGACCCCAGGTGCGTATGGTAGGGTTACATACCATCTTTAGATGAGCACTTTAATTTTTTGTCAATTTTCATCGATTTTCTCAGACATTTTAGGGTTCAGAAAGTTCTAAAACTGCATTCAGTTCCTTTCTAACTCATTCAGTTTTCGGAAATTTTCCATTTTTATCTTTAACGGACACAAAAGTTAGGCAACCAGACATACACGGGTGACAATAATCCGTGTATACAGACCTTGATGATTGGAAATAGTAAGCAACCAAATTTGCAATATGACATTCATAATGTAGATTCCTTTATACGGGATGTCGCAGAATAACGTGTACAACGGAAGACCACAGATTCGTGGCCTCAAAATAGGCAGATCTAGGCTAATTGACTTATGTCCAAAATCGCTTCGTTTGGCCGATAGATGGCCTCAAAGTTTCCGAAAAATTTTTTAATTTTGTATCAATCAATCAATCAAATACGTATTAATCGATTTTCATTATTTTTGAGATGTGGACTCTTGTTTTAAATCTACACATTTTGGTGTTATACAGTGTTTTTTAAAACTTACAACTTTCGAAAAATCAAAATTGGTCAGTCTGATATCGCCTATTTTAAGATTAAAATTTTATACCAGAAATTTGTTGTAAAAGATATTATCTGTTTTTTTTAATAATTAGCTTCCAATGTGCATATTTTGTATTGTTTTGGTTTTCCGCACCTCATTTTATCACAAAATCTCTAAGTAATTCCACCCATCTTCTTTCCGCAGGAACTCTTACAGTAGAAGAGGTGTACTGCGATAGGGACCACTTTGCAGTGCTCGTACCAGAGGTGGCAGTCCCCGATGTGGGCAACATTGGCATAGAACAGAAGGTTGAGGCGGTATTTTACCGCTCCTGATAAATAAAAAGAGATATGTATGTCCTTGTCTTCCACACCTGTAGCACTTCCTGGTCTGATGATACCAAATTTTTATTTTACGAAAACGAATCTATCGAGTAAAATCAAAATTTCATATAAATTTGGCCACAGAATTGGATCAGGGTAACAGCAAGTTGAGGAGGTATTTTACTGCTCCTGAAAAATGAAAAGAGATTTTTGTATCTCCTTGTCTTCCACATATATTGCATCAGGAGACTATGAATCCCCATACAAAGTTGTTGATTTATAAATAGACATAGTTGAAATTGTGTACTATGTAACCATAATAATTCTTGTTTTCCAAACCTCTTTCACTCCTGACACAGTACTGGAAAACTTTCATAGACGTCTATAGCGGTCTTAATAAATTATTTAAAAGCATCTCTTAAATTTTTCACGTCCGCCATCTAGCGGCCAAAAGTTAAAATAAACTACTTCGTACTTCTAAGAATTATAGGAAACTAACATTTAATGGCTTGTATTAGCTTCATAACGGATAGATGGCGCCACCGACCATAAAATAAACTGGCGGTAACATTCAAATAAATTAAGAAATTTAAGACACAAATACAACAAAATTTTACTATTAATTCTTTATTAAGAAAAATATTACATGGAGTTTGTATCGTTAGAAAGATAAAAATGACAACTTATTTTTAACATTAAAACAATCGATATAAATAAATCTTTATTAAGTTCCACATAAAGGGTCAAACTACTTCTTAGAACATTTTTAATTTTAATAAATTAACTCCTACTTATATGTTCAAAACATAAAAAAAAATACCTTAAGTCTAAACACATACAAATCATTCCACAGGTTTTCCTGACAACTACATAAATTCTAATAATCTCCTCTGAAACCACCCCTTCCCCCTCGACCGCCCCTATTGTAACCTCCTCGGAAACCACCCCTTCCTCCACCAAATCCTCCGTTATTATATCCACCCCCATTGTTATACCCGCCTCCGCCGTTACCCCCGCCATAACCACCTCTGAAACCGCCGCCGCGGCCTCTGCCGAACTTCGGCGGGGGACCGCTGTAGCCGCCGATGGTGTGCCCCCTGGGCGGCCTCTTGGAAGCCAACAAGCTACCCTTCGCCCTCTGGATCTCGAAACTGCCCGCGTGCAGCTTGCAGAGCTCCTTTATCGTCGACACCACCTGAAAGGGAACGGTTCGTTGACAAACAAAAATTAAAAACACCCAAGACGCTTACCTTCAAGTCCGTCGGTCCCATCTCCAAGATCTGCTCGGGCTCCTGGGACGCCCTGATGACGAGGCTCTCGAGCGCCGGCCTCAAGGCGACGATCATCGACGCCACCTCCGGGTCCATATTCAAATTTATCCAGTTATCCAAGCGGACGACGCCGTCCACCCAATCCACCTTCCTCGAACCGAACAGAAGGAGGTGCAGCGGCGTCACCATGGTCATCTGCTTGCAAGACACCGCCCGGGTGCGGATCTTCTCGCCAAACACAAAGAACGGGTAGGGGAAGCCCTGGTCCTGGTTGCTGCAATTCACCGAGGTCTTGTGGATCAGGGCGGCTTTGCTTTCCGTCGTCAACACCTGAAAAGGAGAGAGAGAACGTCCCCGTGATAGTGGGAGTCGTACGCTTCGGAACCGAGTATACTCACTTTTCTCTTCTCCTTGTGGTAGCACACGTTGGGGTACAGGCCGTAGCACATGAGCGACATGACCACGTCCAGTCTGGGATCGGGCCCCACCGTTTCCATGGGAATGGGGGCCAGGGTCTCCTCCGGGAAGCCGACGTTATTCAGGATCTGCTGCAGCTGGTGCTTGGCCTCCCACGTCACCCTCATGGTGGGCATGCTGATGCCCTTGAAGTCGCAGAAACGGAGTTCGGCGTCCTCGCCGCCCTGCCTCGCCTGGTCCCACAACTTTAAAAGCGGAACTACCGTTAGTTATACAGCCCCAAAATTGTTTAATATTACTGTTTTCAATTTAGTATCAAACAGGTAATATTAAAAACAAAATGAATGTAAAATAAACAAAAGAGTAACAAAATTAAACCGTGAACAGTTTAAATTTAAGCAGAATCCAATCCCGTTTCAAACGCCGTTAGATTTTTTTTTTTTAGTATCGACAAATCCTCACCTCAAACGCCGTCAGCATGGCCACGTGGTCGGAATGCCTGTCCCCGGCCAGCGCCTTCTGGTGGTAGCTGAGCCTCCTCTGTCCCATATCCAGGGTGAAGATCTCCGGGAACGTGGAAGAATTAGCGGCCATGGTGGCAAGTGGGCCGCCGCACATGAATATACACCCCAACACCATCATCTTGCCCATCCTGGGCTCGATCGGCAGCTTGGCTATGATCCTGCCCAACGGCGTCAGCTCGTCGTTCTGATCCAGACACTTCATCTCCCTCAGCAGCACCTCCGCCTCGATGACGGCGTCCAACGGCGGCGGTTCGATCGCCTTGCTGAGGAAGTGCCCGATGGAGCCGAGCCGCAGCAGTTTGATGCTGAGGGCGAGCTCGTGCAGGGGCGTCCGGAACATCTCGGGCGTCATGTGCTCCTCTAGCTTGTCGAATCTCGCTTTGGAGCACAGGTGGAAGCAGAAGCCGGGACGGACGCGACCCGCCCGCCCCTTCCTCTGCTCCAGGTTGGTCTTGGAGGCCCAGACGGTGGCGTAGCTGGTCATGTTGTTGTGCGACGTGAACATCTTCATCTTGGCCTTGCAGCTGTCGATGACGAACACGACGTCGTCGATCGTGATGGACGTTTCCGCAATGTTCGTCGCCAGGATCACCTGAGAGATAATTAACGGGTAATTAGTTTTCCTAAACGTGATTCGCTCTGGCCGACGCTTACTTTGGTGACGTGGTCCGGGACTGACTGGAAGACCCTCCGCTGGTCTTCCCT